AATGGGGCAATGGGAGACCGTTTTCACCCAGCAATATCCTGGCTATGAGCAGTGTCACCTTCCTAAGTCCAGGTGTTCCTGAACTCTTCGGATTTGACTTCTTTGTTCTGTCCCTCCCTTCATCCACACCACTGCCTGTGATTTGATGTTCCAACAGGAAGGTAGATGTTTGCTTTAGAAAATAATTTCTAGGGACACCTGGGTGGCTCAGCAGTTGAGCATCTGCCTTTGGCTCAGGTTGATCCAAGGGTCCTGGGATCAAGTCCCACATTGTGCTCCCTGCATGGAGCCTGCATCTCCCTCTTCCTATGTCTCTACCTTTCTCTCTCTCTCTGTCTCATGAATAAATAAATTAAAAAATCTTTTAAAAAATAATTTATTGGGGAGCTTGAGTAGTGCAATCAGTTAAGCATCCGACTCTTGGTTTCCACTCAGATCATGATCTCAGGGTCCTGAGATGGAGCCCTGGTATTGGCCATCCTCAGTGAAGAGTCTGCTTAGATTCTCTCTTTCTTCCTTGCCCCTTGCACTCACATGTTTGCACTACCTCTCTCTCATAAATAAATAAATAAATAAATAAATAAATAAATAAATAAATAAATAAATAAATAAATAATCTAAAAAAGAGAAGAAATTTCTCCATCACAGTGTATTGCTGAGTATCATGACCGATTTTGCTTTGTTATTTTGGCCTTTAATGTGGCAAATGGGAAGTGGACCCTGGCAGTGGGAGCATCCGCTTCCTCATGCCTGTCTCTTCCCAGGTCATCTTTAGGTTGCCTGCTGTACTTTGGGGCTGCCTATTTTCCCACATATAGTCAAGGAAAAGTTGGTAGGGGATTAGAAACTTGAAGTTTTTCTTGGCTATTATCATTGGTTATTTTGGCACCAGTGATTTTGGCAAATTCTATAATTTCTATATAATTTCTATACAATTTATGGTTAAGGCAGCCTTTCATGTTGTTTAAGTTTGTTCCATCCAGAATATTTTTAACCATGATTTAATTTTTTTCAAAAGAGTTTAGGTTTCTTAATTTTGTGACAGTAATAGCTGATGTAAATTAAGTGTTATTAGATTCACATAAAATGAATAGCATAATTATCTTGAGTATTTTATTACCTACTGAGTAAATGAGTTTTATTTTTTAGTTGCACAGTGCCATCTACTGGTGCTGCAAAAACACTCTCATGTTTTCTTTAGTTTCCCAGGATTATAAACAGCTTTTAATATTGAGGTGCATTGTGGTATTCATTATTCATCTCTTATCTAAAAGAGAGACTATCGAGCAAGACTTTTATATTCAGACTTTTCTTAGTTATATAGATACCAGACAAAGCTCATAGTCTACAAATCTTAACAATTCTTCGCATGGGATCTTTCTACATTGTACTTCATTTTCTTTTTCTTTCTTTTTTTTTTTTGTACTTCATTTTCTTTGAGTATTTTTGCTCTGGGGATGCAATCTGAATGGTTTAACATTGCCTTTTAAGATAAAGAGAACTTTTATTAATGATTATTTCCCAACTATTCTTTCTATTCCTTATTCTTTTAATTGCATATTTGCATGCTTTTTCTTTAATGTCTTTTCTATCCTGACAGGCTGAATGCCCTACTAACACATATAATATACCCAGCACCTACTGTACAGATGTTAAAGTTACCTGAAAAAAAGGCAGGAATACTTGGAGAACTGATTATCTACTAATATAAGAAAAAATTTTAAATTGTAGTGGTAGTACCAAGGAGTTACTGTTTGATACATCTTGTTGTCTACTTCTTTTACTTGGGAAAGTAACCCCCCAATTTTTTGTTTTTAAATTACTTCTATCATTTTAACACTAAATTCAATTTCTCAGTGAGTTATATTCTTTCTTGTGGTCCAGAGTGGAGCATGGTATTATACATGTACAAAAAAGAGAAACATTTTATTCAATTAAAACATATAAATTAAAATTAGTACAAATAAAGTACAAGTATAGCCCTGGTAATCTAAAAACTACAAGCCAAAGATTCAAATACTATTTTTCCTCTTCCTCCCTCACCACCCCCATCACTTCCATGTTGTATAAACCGATGCCACACTGGACCAGAACCACAAATAGCCAGATGAGGTTTTTAGAGCCAGTCTCTCCATCCTTTCACTTTTTTCTATTGAAGAGAAGAAGAGAAGAACAGAAAAGAAAGAACAGGCAGGAATATATCAGAGGACAAAAGATTAAAGCACAGTTATAAACAAAATTATAAAATCTGAAAATGTTAGTGAAGTAAATATGATGTAATGTCCTTGGTGAGGAAAAAAAACCTTTGAGATTTTTTGGGAAATAATTAGATTTTTTAATGAAGCTGTATACACTAAAGTTGAACTAAGAAGAAAAGTGAGATTAGCTATTTATGAGCTCACGCAGACTACTGTAGAGCAGATAAGCAGACATCTGGATAGAGCAAAGAAAATCTCTGATAAAAAAAAAAAAAAGAAAGAGAAAATCTCTGATAGTTTTCAACATGGCCTGAGAGAGATGAAATAAGGCAGTGTAATTTAGAAACCATTTGGATCCTGTTGCCCCAAAAGAAAATGTAAACAGTTAAAAAGCTTTTAACATTCTTTACTGTCACCTCAATTGTGTGAAGACCTTATTTACCAATCCATCATCCAGTTTCCAAAAGGGTGAAAACAGAAAAAATGTAAGTGTATTTTACAGCCTAGATACAGTCATTGCTCGCCTCTAGTTTATTACTAGACATTTATTTTTGGTTCTGCAAGTTTGAATCTGCCAGGACTGGAATGCTCAGGTGTTAGCTGTCGACAGTTTCACGGTAATTTTAAGCTGGGCCTGCCTTTGGGTAAATCATATCGGTAAAAATAAGGTTAATTTTCCACCTATTACCTCTGCTTTGTCTGGCAAATAATGGTATCATATTTCTAAAGTCTCTCAGAGAATTGATTATAGTTTTTGAACTCTCAAAATAAAAGGGTGAGAAAAGTAAAGTTGACTGGAGTGCCGGTGAATTGCAGACTTTCTCTCTGGTTTAATTTTTGAAAGCATCTTCTGATTTCAGAAGTTGAAGCTGTAGAATAAAACAGCAACAAAGGCATGACTGATAATTGGAGTTTTGATAAAAAAAAGAAAAGCTATCTTATTATTACATTTTTGTTATCTTTTACTTCTCATTCTAATTCTCCATTCACTATCCTGAGAATTTCTGGTTGGGACCTGCATCTTTTTGTTTGCTTCCCTTCAGATTAGTTATTATTATTATCACCAGCTAAAGAGGACAAACACTTGTTATTTTTTGCCTCTTAAACATGGAGTATGTATTAAAAAGTATTGTGTGTCAGTATTTGAATATATATACATTTAAGTATGTATATGAAATGTACATTTCAAATTCTTGGGGAGGTTTTTAAAGTCTTCTGTGGCTCTCAGCTTTAACCATTAGATTATATCAGAATTTCCTGGAAGGTAGATTCCCCCCCTTCTAGATAATTTTAACAGTGGCAGTTTACAGTAACAAGTTAGCTAATTAAATGTTTATATAAAAAACAATGCCTTTAAAAAAAAAAACAAATGCCTTTAGAACTCAAGTATATCTTAAACTTATCAAACTATAACTCTGCTGTTAAATACATTCTCTCCTGAGCTCAGTGATTTGGAGAGACAAAAGGTTGTTCTGTACAGACATGACAACAAGTTACCTTATGTATTATACTAAACCTATCTGGTTTCTTTTTTTAAAGATTTTATTTATTTATTTGACAGAGCGCACAAGCAGAGGAATGGCAGGTAGAGTGAGAGGGAGAAGCAGACTCCCCACTGAGCAGGGAGCCTAATTGAGGGAGGCTCAGTCCTAGGATCCTGGGATCATGACCTGAGCCAAAGGCAGACACTTAACCACTGAGCCACCCAGGTGTCCCATACTAAACCTGGTTTTTGTTGTTGTTGTTTTCTACTGTGAGACCTCACAACTCATTTCTGAAATTTCATCAGTGGATTAGTCTTTACACTGAACATCTGGACCAAGGACAAACAGTAAAATCTCAGTTTTCTAAGTTGAGTAGAAAATGGCTTTCTGACCCCGCCTCATCCACCACCTTCTTCCTCCCGTTCAGGTCTCCATTAAAAAGCAGTCTGCTTTATTTACATCCTTTTTTTTTAAGAAAAACTTAGTTGACGTGCCAAACCCTGTAATTCTTAAGCTTTTCTAGAAATGTTATCTTTAAGGGAGATTTATAAAAGCAAGAAGAATCTTTGTGGTTTTATTCTGAAAGCCAGAAGAGTTGAGAAACAAGGCCGACTCCAATGCTGAGCTTTTTCGCTTTCAAGCTGTATTATGGTTTCTGTGCATGTTTATGAGGAAGAGGCAATTGAAATATTTATTTTTTCAGTTCTGGCAAAGTATGACCAGCGCCACTGAGAGTACATTTTGTCATGGGATAAAGAAACAGAAAAGGCAGAATCAAGGTCTTTGCCTAAATAAGTGAACATTATTGTATTTCTTCAGATAGTTGGATTTTTGAAGAGACATTTCATATTCTTTGATGGAACTATCTAAACAAACTAGAACTCTATACAAACTAGAGCTTTTAAAGTCAAACCCAGTTCACTTCTTTATTTATAATCAGTGAACAAACTTAGCAAAATATGTGATATAAGGTATCCAATATATTTTTAACATAATTCTTTGCTAAATATTATTGCCATCGTTATATTTTCTCTCTGCCTTCACACACATACAGATAAATATATATGCACATATACATATAAATATGCATATATATATTCTTATTAATGAGGCAAAAATTCAAATTAATTTTTGTTTGGGTATTTCTTTGAATTCAAGAGGTATCAAGAGAGGCACCTTTGCCCTCCTGGTGAACACCAAGAGTTAAAAGTTCCTTAATGGATGCCATTGCCACTTTTCAAATTACAGTTATTGCATAGCATTTCTGAAGTACCTTGAGATCCTATACCCACCTATTTCTTCATTTTACTTCTTATAGACTCCCCTTTATTTGGTAAATCATGGAGAGAATGGACCACTCAGATGCAACAGGTGCAAAGCCTATATGTGCCCATTTATGCAGTTCATTGAAGGAGGAAGGAGGTATCAGTGTGGATTTTGCAACTGTGTGAATGATGGTAAGTGGTGCCAATAAATGCTTAGTAAGAGCTCTTTATTAGTTGAAACATATTATACTTCTAAGCTTATGGGAAAAATATATGTTAAAGCTCTTAGTTATAAATGAGCTTTTCCTAAATACGGATGAGCTCACATTCAAGAATAACTCAGAGGAATAGCAAACAAACAAACAAACGCAACCTCTCAGGCATATCATCTGTAAACATGAGAGGTAAAATTTTATTTTGCCTCCATTTGAGCCTTTGTAGAAGGGGATTGAGACATAAAACTACTTACCTACTTTTGAGTTTTATAAGAAACAGCAGCTTCCATGTGGGAAATTGTATGTACAACTTCATGCATTTATATGAGGCTGAGAGGGGCATGGTGGTCCCAAATGGAGCATGTTCTGGTTGGTTTTCTTCTACAGACATTATAAAGAAGAAATTTTATTGTATCTGTTTTCAGATGATACGTTGGAGAGACTTCTTTCTTTCTTTATTCCTCTGAGTTATTCCTGAATGGAAGCTCATCAGTATTTCGGAAAAGCTCTGATGTAACTAACACATACAGACTTTTTGTCCCTCAGCTATGAACGTTGGATTATTTAAGAAGAAAAAAAAAACCATTATTTTGAAGGGCTTTTCTAGATTCTTTATATTTTCACTTTCACTCCAGTATGAATTGACTGATGTTGAAAAAAATTGCAAACTTGCTAAGAGCAACTTATATTATATTTATAACCTGTCTTAATTTTTAATTTTTTTGGTGCTAAATAAAGCACATATCAGCTGAAACATTCCCACATTCATTTACATTTCTAGAGTTTTTCTAGAACCATGTGATGAGTATAAGAGCATGAACTTTCTACGTCTTTTCCTCTGTTCCTTTTCTTCATAGACATGCTTCCCTGCAGGCCATTAAATCTGAAGAATGTTTAACACTCTGCCTAGGAGCCATGTCTCCTATGGCTGCTGACTACTCCCTACTGACAAGTGGAGCTAGGGCACAGCTTTCTGCCTATGTGATTACATTCATGGCATCTCAACTCTGTGAATGCTCTCTGGTGGGAGAGCTCCTTGTTTCCTCACCCCCTTATTATAGTCCTTGGTTTTTGTCCAGCTTAGAGGGCCAGAGACTAGCATTGTGAGTCTTTTGCACAAGAACTTTGGTCAGTTCTAAAACATGCCTTGCTATGGAGTGGAATCACAGACTTCTAGGCTCAACTGAAAAACAGTGGTCCTCTTGGGATGTCTCTCTCCTTGCTCCAACTGTGGCATTCACTCAAATTGGGTATCCCTATGAGACCAGATTCTGTTGGTCTGTCATAGTTTACTTACCTCTGTTGAGACTGTCAGTTTCCCACTTCCACAATCTTTACAAGACTTTGAATTTTCCAAATTTCAGAGATCCATATGTACATATGAATGTTATAAAACTTGTTTGAGGGATCCCTGGGTGGCGCAGCGGTTTGGCGCCTGCCTTTGGCCCTGGGTGCGATCCTGGAGACTAGGGATCAAATCCCACGTCGGGCTCTCTGCATGCAGCCTGCTTCTCCCTCTATCTGTGTCTCTGCCTCTCTGTCTCTCTCTCTGTGACTATCATGAATAAATAAATAAAATTTAAAAAAAATTAAAAAAAAATAAAACTTGTTTGAAAAGAAATGACCAAAAAAAAAAAAAAAAAAAGGAAGAAAAGAAAAGAAATGACCATGTTATGGTAAGAAAATAGACAAATCGGGCAGCCCAGGTGGCTCCGGTTTAGCGCCGCCTTCAGCCCAGGGTATGATTCTGGAGACCCGGGATCCAGTCCCACGTCAGGCTTCCTGCATGGAGCCTGCTTCTCCCTCTGCCTGTGTCTCTGCCACCCCCCCCCCATCTTATGAATAAGAGAAAAATAAGACAAATCAATTTTAAGAATCCATTTTATTTTTAAGAAAAAATAGACAAATCAATTCTTGGTGATTATTTTTTAAGTCCAACCTACAAAAACAGTCCTGTTGTGATCCATGTTGTTTCACAACTAAAAATAAAGAATATAGATTTGTTGGTTTTAAAATACATTACTTGGGCAGCCCCGGTGGCGCAGTGGTTTACCGCCGCCTGCAGCCTGGGGTGTGATCCTGGAGACCCAGGATCGAGTCCCACGTCGGGCTCCCTGCATAGGGCCTGCTTCTCCCTCTGCCTCTCTCCCCTCCCCCCACCCCATGTGTCTCTATGAATAAATAAATAAAATCTTAAAAAAAAATTAAAAAAAATACATTACTTCTGTGGTTTTTACGAATGAAAATGTTGCTCTTTATGAAATGCTGAAAACCAGAGCATTGCTGGTTATTCTAAATACTTCTATTGTCAGTGGTTTAATAGCCAGCCCTATTAATCTCAAGGCAACAGGAGTTTGTTTTCACAGAGATACCAGGCCATATTTGTCCAAGTGTTCAGTGTGTGACTCATAAGTGTTCCTGTGCTGTTGGATGACTTCCAGGTCATTGCCAGAACTAACCTTCTTAGACATTTGAATCAAATTAAGAGTTCTCAGCTGAGATCTTAGTGGTATAGTCTTTCCCTAATACAGTAATCCTCCCCACTCTGAAGTCCAAACATTAAAAGATTACTATGCAAACTTTCCATGGCTGAAGACATCTCTTAATTAAAGGATAATAAATATTGTAGTTAATAGTATAGTCCAAATAATGAATGTATATTTCTGTTAGGTATACTGAAAATTTAAGTAGTTAGAAAAGTCAGAATTCCTTTTAAAAGAGGTAATTAAATAGAGATAATTAAATTTTCTTTGTGACAATTTAAAAACAGCAGTTTTCTTATCCCCTGTCTCTGCACAATGGTCCAAATCATAAATGTTATGTATCATCAGTAACTTGCAGAAGAGTCAAGATTTTTTAAGAAAACCTTTGTACTTTCCACACATGCTTTTTAAATAGTGGATATTTAGAATATATACTATATTCTAGCTTTAAAATACTCCCCCCCACACACTTATTCTTTTCCTCCCATAATAAATTTTAAGAACTTACTAAGTTGTCTGTGTTATGAAAACAAAATATTTCCTTTCTTATTTTGTTTTTATTAGTTCCACCGTTCTATTTCCAACATCTGGACCACATCGGGAGAAGGCTGGACCACTATGAGAAGCCGGAGCTATCTCTAGGATCTTATGAATATGTTGCTACTTTGGATTACTGCAGAGTAAGTGTTCCCAGGACTTCAAGTGTTTATACATTGATGTCAAATTCAAGTGAATAACTTTCATATGTAAAAACTGAATCTTTATTCACAAACAAAGCATTTTGGGGGTATCATGGGGATGTAGAAATGCCTCAGACACAGATCAAGGCTTCTAGGCTGTTAACATGATTAAACTGCCAAACTATTCAGTGCAGTGATTATTTTTAAAAATAAAAAGTGGTGCCAGAAATAGAAAACAAGAATTTAATTTTTATGTCCCTATCAGATAACATATTCTGGATTCTTAAAGCAACAGTTCGATATAGTGCCTCGATCTCATTTGTTTTGTCAGTGATTTCAGAAGATTTTCTCTTCTAAGGCAGAAGCTCAGCCAATATGGTCAATAGGACTGTGACAGTTTTCTTTGTCTCCTTTCTGCACATGAGTTGTCACCACAGTGATTTAGAGTTCTTAGAATCTTCCTTGGACTATGTGAGAGCCTGGGATTCTGGCCTTTGGTTTCTTGCTTTAAAATGTAAGCGTGAGATGCCTCACCATTTCCTTAATCTAAAAAATTAAATTCAAGAATTTAACTTTCCTTATAAGACCATTAAGTGTTGGCTTTCATACTATCACCTCAGCCATCTCTTCAGTTTTACAAAACACTCACCACATACTCTGGACTCATCATTCCTTTTTACAACTCCCATGCTTTTGGGTAAGATTGTTTTGACCAGACTATCTTTGCATCCTTCTGTTACATCTATATATATACTCCACCTAGCAAACTCCTACTCATTCTGTAATACCTGGCTGAAATTTTATTTTATGTGACTGTGTGTGATGTGTGCATATGTACAGTTTTCTTTGACTTTATCATGGTGGTTATTTACTAAATCTTCTAGTGCTTTTTTTTTTTTCCTATAGAATTTGGTTCATATATTTGTTGTAGCAATTATTCCTATGAAATGTAAATCTTCTTAAATGTTCCCCCCCCCACCCCTCATAGAATTCAGTATTCTTGGTGACAAGAATCTTGTCTTGGCTGCCTTTATGGTATCCACCACAGTGTCTATCTAGTACAACTGGAAGACAGTGTCTATCTAGATCAATGGGAAGACAGTTGATCAGTGTATGTGGAATGAATGCATAAATGAATGAATGAATGAATGAATGAATGAATTTGCAGGTCTTTTACTATTACCAGGACTGGCTATTTCCCTTTCCGAATGTCACAGTGAGAGTGACATCATTATGGGTAACTTGCAGGGCTCTAAAATTCTTTAGTACTTTGGAAGCATTTTCTTGGGGATGAGTTCAGATTTCAGCTTATATCTGAAGTATCATATGTAGACCTGAAGAAACAGTCATTCTGACTAAATGTCTGTCTTCCCCTGACAAATATGAATGCCAGCTGATGCCCAGTTCTCAGAAAACAGCCTCTGACCCACAGAATTCTATCACAGATATTTGTGAGGGGACTAGTCCACGTATTGAGTATAAATTACAAAAAATATTTTTGCTAAATAGAAGTTTTTTTTCAGTTGATTGGATTTAAATTTTTTAGTTAATACAACTTTTGCATTTATTTTAGTGTTTTGTATGATTTTTTTACATTACATAGAACTAGTTATTAAAGAAAAGTTAATGCTTTATTAATTCAAAATGTGACATTTGAGCATATTTTGACAAATGTAAGAACATTTTTGGTATAACTATATCAGACAAAAAAAAAATCCTAAAGTACCAACTACTTTTAGACCGTTTATTTGTTCTTTACTGCTGTTGACTGAGGGTGAATGATTAAGTAGACCGTAAATATTCAAGTTCTAATTAAATATAATAAAGCCATTATAACTAGTGATGGAAAATTTATTGATTGATCTTTGCAACTATAGTATAAATATAACTATGTTTTCAGTTTCTAGTTCTCTGCCAAAAAGGCTATATTATCTTGATTTTATGCTTTTTTAGTAGAAACTCAGGCAGAGAGTCAAATCTATTTCTGGGAACAAAAGTCTTCATATCTTCAAACTCTGTTATCTGGAAATGTTCCAGATGTCTAATTGATGGAAAATTTCACCCAGCAGGCAAGGAACCAAATTAAAAAAAAAAAAAAAAAGTACATTTTGAAGAATGTTTTGTAAGCTTAATCTACCTTTTATTATTCCAAGTAGGATTTAAAATAAAAGATGATTTAAGTATCTTCAAATTTAATTATAATTCAAAATGTAAATAAAGTAGAATAGTGAGTTGTCTTAGGGATTTGGACAATGAAAAGGAGCTTATTTAATTTGTACATGTGTTTTTTGATACCATACAAATTTAGAAATACAAAATTACATTTTGCCCTATTCATTTTAGTTTATCTTGATACCAATTGTATATAATAAAATTAACATTGGCTATTTACTATGTGTGATGCTCTATGCTAAATGCTTTTTTTTTGTGTTGTATAGTTACTACTCAAGTGAACCCACATGATGCGTACTATTATTATAAGAGGCCTAGAGAGCTTAAGTGCCACCCTCAGATCACACACATAGAAAGTGCTGGACCCAGACTGAAAGCTCTGTTGGCATGACCACAGAACCTCTATTCTTTATCAATATACTGTGGATTTGTAGGCAGTTATTTAGGAAATCACTGTGGGGTTCTCCAGGAAAAAAGTACCTCAACTCTTGTCATATAATTGAGAGTTTTTCACTTAAAAGTTTACGGAATATATCTGTACACAAAGTGTACCTGAAACTGAAATCCCATTCCAAGCCAGCCTTTTATTTTTCCTCAATAAAAATGTCATCCCTCCACTCAATTTTAATTCACTGTGACATTTAATGGATACCTAACACACCCAAGACACTTGGTTATGTGCTATGAGGGATACCAAAGCTAGCAATGAACCTGATTTCAAGGTACTCCGTATGTATAGACTCAGTAAGTATATAATTATGATATAAACCCAAGTATGATAAATGTTTTAAGAGTCAAATAATCCTGTGGTATAAACCCAAGTATGATAAATGCCTTAAGAGTCAAAAAATGCTATAAGAGAATGGACAAGTGATGACATATGACTTGGAGGGTGAAGGAAGGCTTCAAAGAGTGACTTGAGCTGGTTACACCATGAGCAGAGTTTGGACATGTGGAAAGGGAAGGGAAACAAAACAGTGAGTAGATACAGAGTATTTGCAACTTCACTTTCATCAGGGATGAGGCAGATATTGTAGATAAGTGATGGGGAGTTAGTATGGGACTAGGATAATTGGAGAGGATGTTCCCTTTCCCCCAAAACACATTCATATTCAAATATTTTTTAAAAACACTATGCCAAACAAAATACTTTTCTGGCCAAATTCTTGGCCCAGGCCTGCCAGATTGTGACTTCTGGATAGGAAATGTTTTGAAAATGGCAAACACTTAAATTAGTTGAAGGAATGTGTATTGGGGAATAATGGGAAGTAAAGCTGGGAAATTGTTTTGAGATACAGACTAACCATTTATTTTCCACTGGGTTTGTCATCTTACCTTTCATCTCCTGGTTTTTATACATGTTTGTTAAATGAGTATTGTGGGGAGTTAAAAATGCCAGGCCATTGAAGAATTTATGTTAATTCAGTAAGTAATGAGACCATTAAAGGTAAAGAGGGAGTTGTTTCCTTAATCCATTCATCCATCCATCCACACATTTATTCACTCAGTCAGCAGTATTGAGCAGTCTTTTGTGCCATGCTCCGTGTTTGACTCTGAGGACTCAGTAAACATTCTGTCCTTAGAGGCAGTAGGATTGTGATCTGTATTGTGTCTTTGGACTGGTTATTCTGACAGCAGTCTGTGTAATGAGAGGAAAGAATTTGGAAGCAGGGGGACATTAGAAGTTAATGCAGTAGTCAAAGCAAGATAAAATGAAAGGAGTATAGTAGTTCCTCAGAAATTTAGAAATAGAATGACTGGGTATATACCCAAAATTACTGAAAGCAGAGTCTCAAAGAGACATTTGCACACTCATGTTCATAGCATTATTCACAATAGCCAAAAGGTGGAAGTAACCCACGAGTTCATACATGGATAAATGGATAAACAGAATGTAGTATATATGTATGTGGAATATTATTCAGCCTTGAAAGATAGGAAATTTAGACCCACGCTAAACATGGATGAACTAATGCTAAATGAAATAAGCCAGTCACATAAAAGACAAATATTATGATTTTATTTTATGAAGTACCTAGAGGAGTCAAATTCATGAAAGCAAGGATGTAGAAATGTAGAATGGTGGTTGCCAGGGTCTAGAGAGAGAGGGGAATGATAAGTCATTGTTTAATGGTTTCAATATTGCAAGATAAAAGAGTTCTAGATATGGGTGGTGGTAATGGTTGCACACCAGTGTAAATGTACTTAATACCACTGAACTATATGCTTTAAAATGCTTAAATTGGTAAATTTTATGTCTATTTTACTGCAGTTAGAAATACTTTTGGAAATGAGTGTCTAAATTTGGGTGCCAGAACAAGAAGGCTTTACAATTAACTGGTGTGGATGGTAAGAAAGGTGGGCAATTCCACAGAGAAAATGAGACTTGAAACCCAGATTATTTTTGAGGATAATGCTTTTTCTATTTCCTTATAGAGAAAGCCAGTATAGTGGGATAAATCTTGTCTTACCTGCTAAAATATTGAAGTGAAGATCCTGGCAGGTCTGCTATAGTTAAATGAATGCTGCTCTGGGGCTCAGACCATGATTAGAAAGAATTTGAGGAGTCACCTATAAAGTGGTGCTAGTTAAAAATGAATAAATGAGATTTCTGTGATGGAGCATGTGGTGAAAAAAGTGGGTGTCTTTTGGAGAAAGATAAGAAAATAAAAAACAAGCAGCAGTCAGAAAAGTGGAAGAGGAAATGATATTGCAGTGACTTGACAGCTTAGAAAGTGAAAGTGCCATGCCTAAAATTGGAGAGAGAAAAGAGATTTAGGATGAGAGCTGGATTTTACTTAAAGTCACTCATTTGCAGTCAGGAGGTCTTTGACTCTTAACAGTGGTTTTGGTAAGGTGTCATGAAAAAAACCAAGTTTTTATAAAGTTCATACCTGTTAGGCTTGGCTGGACAAAGCAAGCTGGATTGAAAGGGGAGAGTAATTGATTAAGGCAGCCAATGATGAAGTCACTAGAATTTTCTAGGCATGAGAGGACAAACTTCTGGATGGTTAAGAATAGGGACTGGGTAAAACATGAAAGAATTATTTTGAAAGGATAATTAATGAGACTTAGAGATTGAAAGAAAAGGAATAGTCAGATCTAATTTGATATTTTTAAGCTCCGAGTTGATGTGTAGTGAGGTTATTGATAGATAGAGATGTTGAAAGAGAATATCATTTAGAGGAATGAGGAATTAGTTTCCCATGCATAGAAAAGTAGTTACAGTGAAGCATTTCACAGAGATGTGTGTGATGGATTTATGGAAGCTATTCTGTGGGGAATGAGTAATGCTGAACTTAAGAGAACACAAGAATGGTAAGACACATTTGGGTTGGTCACAACGAGGCTTTGGCTTAATTAATGGAAATGATTAAAAAAAAAAGGAAATGATTGTTATTTTTATTTAATATGAATCAATGTAAGTCTATGTTATAAATTAGATTAGGTGAGAAAGGATTTGCCAAAAAATAAAATAAAATAAAATTGCTCAGATAGACAGCAGTACAGTTCTTTCTTTTCCTTGTTTGCCTGATTTTGAATGTGGCAAAGCAGTGAAGCATTTACATTGGTGATTTTTAAGTCCTGCATTTTTTTTTAAATTTCAAGTGACATACTTTATTAGAAGAGTATTGTATCTAGACTTATAATGGATATAGAATGAATCAGTAAGATAATTTGGAGACATTGTCATCTAATTTTATAATTATAATACAATTTTATTTTAGATCGTTTTTGTTATTTACCATAAAGTTGAAAATTGGATTAACCTGAACTCTTGTTTTAGTTTGAGTCACTAAGTTTGCCTGTGGCTCTGTTTTCTAAATACTTTGTAAGACTCAACTGAAGAATCATTTCCTAAGAGCTTTTTGAACACCAGCTAGTAAAGGGACCAACAGCTACAAAACATTTATATAGCAGCTGCTTTATGTTATAGTGATTGTTTTAAATAGATGTAGAAAAGGCCCAATATTCCATCTTTTACAACAAATATGTAAGGAACAGGTAAGTATTTGACAATATAATATAATTTTAAGGTATACAATTATATTTTATTTTTTAAAATATCTTATTTATTTGAGAGAGACAGGAAGAGCAGGAACATGGGGAGTGGCAGAAGCAGAAGCAGACTCTCCGCTGAGCAGGAAGCCCAATGTGGGGCTTGATCTCATGACACTGAGACCATGACCTGAGCTGAAATCAAGGGTCAGATGCTTAGCCCACTAAGCCACCCAGGTGCCCCTACAATTATATTTTAGTATATAATTTCATATCTTTAAAACTGAAAGAGCTTATGAAGAAAAAAATTGAAAATAGTGTTATTAAAGAGCACTTGGGTGGCTCAGATGGTTAAGTGTCTGCTGTCTGCCTTCAGCTTGTGTCTTGATCCTGGCGTCCTGGGATAGAGTTCTGCATCAGGCTCCCTGCTCAGTGGGGGAGCCTGCTTCTCCCTTTCTCTCTGCCTCTCTCTTCCACTCATGTACTCTCTTTCTTTCAAATAAATAAATAAAATCTTAAAAAAAAGACAATAGTGTTATCAAGTTAATGAAGTTTTACTAGTTTCAAGACAAATACTAATTATTGTATGTACTCTTTGGGGCACAATTTGTCAAGGTTCCAGGCATTTCTTCTTCTTCTTTTTAAGATTTATTTATTTATTTGAGAGAGAGAGCGCGAGGGAGGGAGGGAAGGAGGGAGCGAGGTAGGGAGGAAGGGAGAGGGGAAGGGCTGAGGGAGGAGCAGACTCCCTGTGGAGCAAGGGAACCCGATGTGGGGCTCAGTCTCAGGACCCTGGGATCATGACCTGAGCCAAAGGCAGACACTTAACTGACAAAGCCACTGAGGCACCTCACTCACTTTTTCTTATAAAGCAGAGGGTTGTAAGCAAGGCTGGTCACCAGACTGTACTCACAATTGGGTAATTGTAGTGGTAAGGTCTTTGGAGTGCTACAAAAGTGAAGCTTCTCTGCTAGATATCATAATCCTGTCTAATTCAATAGTGTGTTGCAGGTCATACCCTGGAAACAAACAGCTTTAATCTTTTTTACAGCATCAGAGACTGTGTTCTAGAAAATTATTTAATTCCACAGATGTTATATCCTAAAATAGTAAATGAAAAGTTTGACGATCTTCAAGAGCTTGAATGTTTTATTTTGATTATACAGTGTATATACTTTATAATTACATTTGTGTGATCTGTTTGCATTCCTGTAGAAGAATAAGCCTCCCAATCCACCAGCCTTTATCTTCATGATTGATGTTTCATATAGTAACATCAAGAATGGACTTGTGAAGCTCATATGTGAAGAACTGAAGACTGTGCTAGAAAAACTTCCAAAGTAAGAGAACTCCTATTATTTTTATAATTTGCACAAAATTACTGAATTAGTTTATTGACCAGAAAACAAGTGCTGAATATGGATATAGATATCTTTTGCTAATGAGGACTTTGGGCAAATATTTATAAATCAAACAGCACCATTTTTTTTTTGAGTCCTTAAAACGTCCAGAGTTATCTTTTGTACAAACCAAAAGAAACAAACTGATAAAAATTAATGCTATGATAAACAATATTCAAAATACACTATAAACCATAAGGAGAATCCCAACAGTGTGATGGGAAAGACTTTGGAAGTCTGTTAGTCATTTTCAGAGGGGTTGATTTTCCAGTGGAAGCTGGTAGCTGTGGATTGTGGCAAGAGTTCTAAGGGATGCCAGGAAACTGAACTGTTGTCTTATGGCAGAGATGGTAGTCTTTGAGCCAAATTTCCTTTGCCCTTGTAACATACTGTCAAACCTCTTTGCCGCTTTACTGCCTCTAGGTCCTAGCACAAAGTGGATCACTTTCCTTGCCACTGCAGGGGTCAGTGCATAAAAGTAAAGGTGGAAAGGTATTTTAGCAAACATGGCTCTTTTATGGTGTACAAACTAGTTGTTTAGGATGGGAAATACCATCTAGTAAGGAGCCTCGGGAGCAGGAGAAACTCTTCCTTTATGAGAGGAGACATGCTTAAGAAAAAAAACTAACAAATATTGTCTGAAATGTAGTGTCTGCACCAGTCTCAACATCTTCCCCCCTTCATATCTCCTGAGGGTAAGCAGTCTCTGTTCTGAAAAGGGATGCTTTGAGGGATGGGTTATCTATAGACTTTAGGGCTTCCTGAGTCGTTGGATGCCCATTCCCCTCTATTCCTTCCACATGTGGCTGCTGCACTGGTGCATATGAGCCTCAAATGAGTGAACTCTGGACCTCCCAGGAGTAGCTTTGGTTGTATCTATGAAGCTCAAGTCATAATATTCTCAAGGATAATTTGGAATAGCTGTGAGGATGTTTAAAAAACATTGAGGTGATTTCAAACTGAATTCTAAAATGAAGAATGAACTGGGAGCAAGTTGAAGATGGGGCACAAGAAAGGCATGTGTGCCTGCTGACTGTGACTGTAGTTTCTGTTACCTCATTCTTAGGGATACTTGAGAAGTGTGGACTTTCTGCTGAATATCATATATTTTATCATAGACTTTTCTCACAGGGCTGTTTTAATTCTAACTCTGAACTTGGAACTTGAATGATATATGAAAGAAAACTAAATTTATGGAAATGATGTCTCCTTCTTTCCCTTCTCTAGAACTGATTAAATTAGGTGATCCTCTTCTCATGGTTACCTCACCTACCCCTTGCTCCTTCGCAACACAGTGGTGATGTGAAGTGTATACCCTATTGACCAAAGTTATGAAACCACACTCCTTCCCTTAGATGTCATCATGAGTTCTGTATCCCATTGGAGCAGATTGTGACTTTAGTGAGATAGGAGAAAAAATAAAAAGATACTGCTGGTTATTCCCTGCTACTTTTTAAAATCTCTCCTAAAAGTTTTTATTTAAGCCAAAATGCAATTTTCTTCCTTTATTTTTTAAAAACAAATCTGATTGCTTTTTTTCTCCCCCAAAGTTTGTTGTGGGCTCTTTTTTTTTTTTTAATACTTTTATTTATGATAGTCACAGAGAGAGAGAGAGAGAGAGAGAGAGAGAGAGGCAGAGACACAGGCAGAGGGAGAAGCAGGCTCCATGCACCGGGAGCCCGATGTGGGATTCGATCCCGGGTCTCCAGGATCGCGCCCTGGGCCAAAGGCAGGCGCCAAACCGCTGCGCCACCCAGGGATCCCCTGTTGTGGGCTCTTTATGTTTACAACTTTATATTTTTTATGATAAGATTGCCATCAATCTGATTTGCCCCTCTGAACTATGTAATATGCCAAATAGCTTTTTTATTTTTATTTCCTTTTAAGATTTTATTTATTTATTGATGAGAGATAGGCAGAGACATAGGCAGAGGGAGAATTAGCCTCCTTGTGGGGAGACTGATGTGGGACTCGATCCCAGGACCCCGGGATCACACCCTGAGCCATCCAACTGCCCCCCAAATAGCCTTTCTAAAGCACAGTATAAGTCTTGATTAACGTCTAAGGTATGTTCATCTCTTAGTTAATCTTTTGAAAAGTGAAGGACCCATTCTTTACTATTTAATTTTAAATTTACATCTTTGATTTTGCCAGATGCCATTTCTGTCTGACTTCTCTGGAACAGGAAAGAAAAGATTTGAAATATTTCATCTGCTGTTTAGATCAAGCAGTTAGGGTTTTTTTCTGGTTGTTTTTTTTCCCCCTCTGGTTGTTTTTAATGCTGCTGTAGCTAAAATGTTCAAAATGCTTGCTTTTGGAATATTCCGATTCATTTAGTTACTAACATCTTCAGTTTTGCTCTGTCAGATTCATTCCATTAAAATAATGGGGGCACGTGTTGAGAAAATTGGTAATTGAAAAGCAGAAGAAGAAACACATGTTGTTCTCTGTGATATCCCATATGTAACTTTGTTAAATTTGTGTAGAATTAATATGAAGGAAAGGCTGAAATTAATTTTCTTCTGGATATGATTTAACAAGGTAGTTATACTGTTGAAAAAGAAAAATCTAAGGTAATTCTTTGTTTCTCAAATTAAAAAAAGATGTTCCCATGAAAACATATACTAATATTTTGCAATAATGTGAGATGTTCCGATTAAATGTTTTTAAAACTGTTAATTTAGATTCTAAATGAACCCTGTGAATCCCAAGATATGCCTTTCCCATTATTTGAAAATGTCCAAATCCATTGGGAAATAGCAATCTAGATTCTTCTCTGTAATTTTTCTTTTGTGTCATTTGCCTTAATTGACTCTAAATTAACTACTAAAAGAGAATAAATACCCTTAGGGTTTGTTGGACATTTATCACCTTACATAATAAAAGGTTTACTCGGAAATGGTAGTGTGCTGGTAAACTGGATCTCAAATAAATAAAACCTTAATTGTAGTGTTTGCTCATTTGTGGTATAAAATACTTCCAGCCAGGCTGATTTTAAACTAGCATAGTGACATCACTAAACGGGAGTTGGGAAGAGATGTAGTTTATGAATTTGGGCTCTAACTTGCCATCCTAAATACGACATTTCACCATCACGATAATCATCCTGAACATACCTCTAATTCCCCATGTTATCCTAGACCCTGACAGAAGCAGAGAGCATAAACTTTGGGTCTCTATTGTTCAAAGAGTCATGATACGTTAACTGAAAGGCACTGTATAGTAAGAGCCTAGGGAGAATGATTTGTAGAAATCTAGAAGAGGAATAACTTCTGGTTGGTAGCATCAGGGGAGCTTTGAGAGAGGAAGAGTATCTGTGCTTGGTCTTAAAGAGTAAAATTCCAAGTAAATAGGGATGGGCGAATGGAGAACATGGGAACGATATACTATAATGGTTAGTTGTATGAAGTCATACAGTTTAGGATATTGAGCGGAGGTGTGTGGGTGTAAAAGTATGTTATGGGCAGTTACAAAGGATAAGCATACCATTTCTGAAGATTTTGCAAGAGTCCAAAATATATGCATTTACCAAATACTTTTGGAAGAGATTATGAGGACCTATTTAAACTGTCCACCCATTTATGAAGGCCAAAATGAAGAATAAATACCCTCAATTAGCAAAGGAAGTAAAGAAGAAATAGAGTTTGAAGTCCTTAGTTTGTCAGCCTGTAATCTGCTGAAACATCAAAGAAATTGGGAAGTCTGCAGTGGCATCAACAATTTGAACTTTAGATACTTTGATCTTATATTTTATTTTCCTTTCTCTCGTACTCAAGTAACTTCTTATGCTATGTACAAAGTTTAGAAAAGAGCATACTAGGCTCTTTTTCAAAAAAGTTGTCCCTAAGCAAAATAAGTTTTACTGATATCTAAGGATTAAAGAAAATGGCATATATCTTTTGTGGCTGTCATGTAACCACTGAGCACTGTTATATCCATAATGAAAATTAGTAAGAGTTTCAGTAGTATTTTAGGAGGGAGGAAGCAGGGGAAGGAAGATAAAGAGAGAAATTGGGTAAATATTAACTGGAGTTCAAACCACTCAACTCTGAGTATACTTAGTATAGACTTGAAAAAGAGTAGTCATGCCTTATATTCCTTTCAGGAAGATTAAGGCCTTACCTTGGGATTTCTCAAAAATTTACTTTTTATTATGGTTTTAGAGCTTTTATTACTTTTATTGTCTTGCCATGACATCACAAATGGCTACCTAATAAGAATTACATCATCAATTTATATATGTGATTTATGTTATGTATTTATGGTATATAGCTCTTAAATCTCTCAATTCTGTTGAGATTGTCTAGAATCTGAAAGAATCACACAGAAGCAAGTCCTTTCTTGATAAAAATAGCTATCCTGTTTGTAATCTGAGTGTGCCTTTCTCTTGCTTCAGATGTTCCATTTGTTCTTTTGACCTCTGGTGACTTCTGAGAGAGCTTTGTTTATAAAGAATGTAATATGCCTAGCTTAGTTATGGGGAAAAAAAAAAGCAAACTTTGTAATTGCAGTGGATTGGGAATACATATATTAAAGAAGGGAATATATTAAAGAAATATATTTTCATATCTATTTGACTTTTTCTTACCTAGAATTTTGAGAATTTTTTTATCAACCTTTTTTTGTAATATCCCCATCCCCCTACTGTGACTAAACAATAATGAAGTTCAAAACTTTAAATATGTCTTCTATATATTTTATAGATGATGTACCTACTGAATTGCTGATAGAAACTTCTCTCATAAATATATGAAAGAACTTCAAATGCTGTGTTTCTCTCATAGGGAAGAACAAGAAGAAACTTCTGCAATCCGAGTCGGTTTTATCACATATAACAAAGTGCTGCATTTCTTTAATGTAAAGAGTAACTTGGCCCAGCCTCAGATGATGGTGGTGACTGATGTTGGAGAGGTCTTTGTTCCTCTACTGGATGGTTTCCTTGTCAACTATCAAGAATCCCAGTCTGTGATTCACAAGTAAATATCAAGTGTTTTATAATATATATCATATATTTTATATATAATCAACTATCTTTTTTAATTGTTTTGATTTAGTCACATATTGTTTTGTTTTGTCCTGTCTTTAGCAAGGGACTTTTAACACATGGATTATCAAACTCTATAATTTATGTTCTATTTTAAATGTACACCAATATCTAAAAGGAGTTTTGTTTTATTTTATATAGAGAGAGACAGCAGTTGGGAGGGGCAGAAGGATAGATATAATATTAAAAAGACTCTCCGTGCCCACCACAGAGCCTGAGCTTGATCTCATTATCCTGAGATCATGACGTGAGCTGAAATCAAGAGTCGGATGCTTAACTCACTAAGCCACCCAAGCGCCCCAAGGAGGAGTTTTTTTTTTAATACTCACACTCAACCAGATCAGTCTCTTCTCTTTGCTGGAAAGAGATATTTCCTGCATATGGATGAGCATCAATGATAATGGTTATAACTAAAGATATAGCCACTATTCTAAGAATTTATGATTTTAAGAGGTCAAAAATGTATATAGTGAAAAATATTTACAAAAATATTTACAATATAGTATACTTTTATAAATGTTCCAAACAAATCGTAAATTTTGGTTTCAAAACATGCCAGGATATCATTCCCTGAGGAATGATTATGAAAGTCACCCATAGGTGTTCAGCGAAAAATAAATACCATATGTGTTTAGTCTTGAAATGGTAGTGATTTATTTCTTGAAGTTTATTACAAATATGCTAAACATTTAAAACCTTTTGTTCATTCATTTCTTATAGCTTATTGGACCAGATTCCAGAGATGTTTGCACACTCTAATGAAAATGAGACTGTCTTTGCTCCTGTCATCCAGGCTGGCATGGAAGCACTAAAGGTGAGAAGTCTTTTTTTTTTTTTTTAAAGATTTTATTTATTTATTCATAGAGATAGAGAGGCAGAGGGAGAAGCAGGCTCCATGCAGGGAGCCCCATGTGGGACTCGATCCCAGGTCCCCAGGATCACACCCCAGGCTGCAGGTGGCGCCAAACCGCTGTGCCACTGGGGCTGCCCTGAGAAGTCGTTTTTAATTGCTAGTAAATAAATTTTTAAAACACGCACACACACACATATACACACACACACAGGAACTTTCATCCATGAAAGAAAATATAGCCTTCGTTAAAACATGTAGTTTGCTAGAGGCCATTCCAAGCTTCTCTACAATCTTAGAAGGAAATGGCCCAAACCATGGATTGCTCTCAGCGTTTACATTCCAGAACTATTAGCATCTGAGCAACTGATTTTGTCAGGATTTCCAGTTTAGCTCCTCCCTTTGGCTTTTATATGAACTTTATGTGATCTATTTTAAAATTACTTCAATATCAGAACCAGATATGAAGGGAAAAATCCCCCTATCACTTCCTTGGGGTTTTCAAATATGTAAGGGCAAGGCCTGTGGCAGTTGGCAACAGATCTGAGTGCCATGCAGGGCTTTGCTAAATGCCAAAAGCGGACACGATGTTGGCCATGTCTTTGGTTGGGAAGCTGAGCTCTATAAAGACTCTGGTCATTTTGATAGTAATAAAGACAGTAATCTGAAGATGGCAAATTAATTGAAAAATACTATTGATCATTATTACCTTATTAGCACAGAGTCAAACCACTTTGACAGGCACAGCAAGTTCTTAAAAAATTGATTTTCAAATTTAATTGTTAAAGTGAAATTGAAATTAACTTTTATTTATTTATTTTTAAATATTTTATTTATTTATTTGACAGAGAGAAAGAGCACAAGCAGGGGTAATGGCAGGCAGAGGGAGAGGGAGAAGCAGCCTCCTCACTGACCAGGGAACCTGATGGGGGGGTCGATCCCAGGCCCCTGGGATCATGACCTGAGCCAAAGGCAGATGCTCAACCAAGTGAGCCAACCAGATGCTCCTGAAATTAACTTTTAAAATAAAATGGCTAGTAGTAATAATAATAACAGTAGCAATAATAATAAGAATAATGATGCTAAAGAACTGAGTTTATGAACCACTTCCACATAAATTTTGTGTCTAAACATTCTAACTTGGTTTTAGTACAGTGATTCTTGCTTGGTTTCCTAGTCTTCAGAGTATTTTACTCATTGAATCAAAAACTTGCAGATGTCCCTCAAAAAGCCTCAGAATATGTGTCAACTTAACATAAAATTAAAGATAAGGGGCGCCTGGGTGGATCAGTCAGTTAAGCAATCTGCCTTTGGCTCAGGTCATGATCCTGAGGTCCTGGGATGAAGCCTCATGTCAGGCTTCCTGCTCAGTGGGGAAATCTGCCTCTCCCTCCTGTTCCTGCTCTCTCTTGCTCACTCTCAAATAAATAAATAAAATCTTTTAAAATAAATAAATAAATTCTTCATCATAAAGTGATTTGGACATGTTAGGGTCCATCTGGTGGAAACCAACATTGATCACTGGTTGGGCTATACAAAGGCATGGGAATTCCTATTTTATTCCACATTACAGAAAACAAATACTTTTCTATTTCAATTTGAAAGAGTTTTGTTGCTGTTCTCTCTTCCAGTAAGGTACCTAGAAATGCTATGTAAATTTCTTGATCTATGATCCTATACAGGATCCTGTGAGTCTTTCTAGTCTAAGAAATTAGTACTGGAAATAGAATTGTATTCATGTGCTCTTGCCTGAGAGGAAAGGTGAGTGGATATTTGTAAGCCAATACATCATCAGTTAAGACAGTAGAGTGGAAAGAAGAGTGAGTGTGGGCAAGGCTTCTAGAGCAATGAAGTGCAGCATCCTAGCCCAACCCCATACTTCATTTCTGAAAGGAAGCAATACTGTCTTGTAATGATGGGTTCACACTGGCAGTCCACAAGAGGTCTAGAAGCTATTTAGCAGCTTTGAAAGAAAAAACAGATAAAGCAAATTTGCATGCAATCCATGTGTCTGAAATGTGTTACTTATGAAACATTACTGGGAAACCACTGTGTTGGTAATAACTGTAATGTTCTTCAAAGTTGCTTGTGCAGGGACAGCTGGGATAGTCAGCATTCTCATTGTTCACTTGCCATAGGCCAGTTTGTTTCATCCAATGTATTTTTGTATCTTTTGCATGTTATTTTTTGGTTATATTTGCAATATTGTTGTTAGAGTAATGTACTCTTTTACACTGAAGTTTAAAGATGAGAACCAATATCTAACAACTCAGAATATCAAAGTTAATAAGTAGTAGTATTCTTTTTTTTTTTTTTTAAGATTTTATTTGTTCATTCACGAGAGACACATAGAGAGAGAGAGGCAGAGACACAGGCAGAGGGAGAAGGCAGGCTCCATACTGGGAGCCCAACATGGGACTCCATCCGGGGACTCCAGAATCACGCCCTGGGCCGAAGGCGGCGCTAAACCATTGAGCCACCAGGGCTGCCCAATAAGTAGTAGCATTGTTACAAAGTAAAAGAACTATTTGAAGTGCCTGGCTGGCTTCGTTGGTGGAAAATGCGACTCTTGATCTTGGGGTTGTGATTTTGAGCCCCAAGTAGGATATAGAGATTACTTAAAATCTTAAAAAATAAATAAAAGAACTACCTTTATAAAAGGTAAAGAACTGTCTTTTTAAAAAGATAGGGAAATGCCTTTATAAATTGACGCTGCTGGACATAATGTCGGTGGCAGTTACTGTCTTGTGCCTGCTGGCAGAGCAGATCTTGTTCTGCCAACACCTGTCTTCATGCACAGGTGGAGTGGCACTGTACTTTGTGGAAGGATAAGCAAGGCATTAACTCCTCAACTACTGAGTTACAGGGTCACGTGTGAAAGGGTGGCTACTTTTTTAAAAATGCATATTTCTGGCCCCATTGCCAGTGATTCTGATTCATCAGCTCCCCAATTTGTCCTGCCTATCACCCATATTTGGGAACCACCAGCAAAGCTATTCTGCAATCTCTGAGAACATCCTTACATAATGTTAACTCACCAGAAAGTTGCATACCTGACCCATACAACTTTGTACGTTACTTTTGAGCTAGGAGTGCTTTCATTTAACTATCATTTAACATCTTGTCCTAAGCTTTCCACTAATAGTTAAATTAAGAGAAAACACTACGAAGGAAGTTTCTTTCTTTGCATATTAATCAATTTCTTTCATGTAGAAAGATTCACTAGCTAGTTCCCTAGAGTCAGTTTTTACAAGAATGATAACTCCTAATGTTTCTTTTAGCCTTAACTATCAAGAAAGATACCAATAGTACCTAGGGTAGATTTTCTAAATATTTCCATTCTAAGACCTTCTTGCTGATTTCTAGTTCTTTACATTTCTCTTGGTGATTCTATTGTATGTATCTCTTTGACCATTTGTTTCTTCAAAACTTTTTTATAAATAGATATTAAAAAAAAAAAAAAAACCCACAACGAGAAGTTTCTCCTTCATCTGCCAGAAAGATTCTGGGTGGTTCTAATTCATTGTATAAGAGCAGAAAATGCTGTAGTATAGTTGGAGCTTGTTTGAGTGTATGCTTTCTGCCTTATAGCGACTTTATTAGGTTTGGATGAAGAAAACAATTTTTCCAAATAGGATAAAAGTGTGTGTGTGTGTGTGTGTGTGTGCGCGCGCGCATGTGTGATTTTTCTCTACCTCTGGCAGTGATAGTATCTCATCATTTTTTTCAGGCCCTTTGTGGCTGAAAGGCAATCAGGCTTAAATGTGGGTAACTTACATACAAGGGCACTAAAGTGCTTGCCTGAAGTCATTATTAGGCAAAGAGCTAACATTTTTGAGAATTTGCATGGTAGTATCTAAATATTGAGGAGACCACATCATTCATTCACTTGTTCTTTTTTTTTTTTTTTTTTTATGATAGTCACAGAGAGAGAGAGAGAGAGAGGCAGAGAGACACAGGCAGAGGGAGAAGCAGGCTCCATGCACCGGGAGCCCGATGTGGGACTCGATCCGGGGTCTCCAGGATCGCGCCCTGGGCCAAAGGCTGGCGCCAAACCGCTGCGCCACCCAGGGATCCCCTCACTTGTTCTTTCAATCAAGAAAGATTTAGTAAATGTTTTGTTAAGCAATGTGAGGACTACTCTTTCTAGTTCTGAGTTGCTTACAATGTGGTAGAAAAAATGTAGCTCTGTAATACAGGACATGATATTTCTTGCTTGAATTCCCAAAAGGGGTGGGAGAGGAGGAGAGCAAAGAGTAACTTTGGAAAGCTCAGGACTGTGGCTGGTCAGCTCCATTGCTCAGGGGATTATGCACAAGACGCCAGAGATGAGAGTCTCATCCTCTGTGGATAGGGAGTAGAAACTGAAACAACATCGAAGTGCAGTATTTTTTATGCATCCAAGTGAAGGCATTTTAGAGCTGGACTCCCCCATTTGAATTATAGCTTTATTTTCTATCAGCTAGATTCCAAGTAAAATCTATATATAATTAGTTGTAATAAACTTCTGGAAGCACAGAGAGTAGACAAAAACTAACAAAAAACATGTGCTAATTTGTCACAAAGATAAAGAGGGAAGGATTGGAAAGTTCTTATACAGACTTCCCCAAAAATCCCTTAACTATTCAACTGCAGGCTTTGTTACACTTTTTTTTTTCTGTTGTACATGCATCCCTGACCACAGCAAGTCATTGCCTTAGGGTCTTTTTTCCCCAATTCATCTTTCAAAATCTGCCATCTCTTCTCAAAATCTGACATTCAAAATTCAACTACATGTGAATTTCTGGTGTTGTCTTTTAACTTGAGTGTCAAAATCTGACAGTCAAAATTCAACTACATGTTTAATTTCTGGTGTTGTCTTTTGACTTAAGTAGTTATTACTTTCATCAGAAAACTAGATAAATAGAATTAGGTAACAAATTGGAAGAATGTGGCCTTTAATGGTGTTTCAAATATACCATGAGTTGGGGAAATTTATCTTTAAATTATCTTAATGTATATCTACATTTGATTTCAAGATGATGCATCACAACATTGCTTCCTTTCCTTCTAAAATTTATGGAGCACCTATAGAGTGAAAGCACTAGACCCAGTAGGGTGCAGAGAAACACATTGTAGAAAAATCAAGGTCCTTCCTTTTTCATGAGCCTGTGACATGTAGAAGACAGTAGGATACTTAAAGTTGTGCTTTGGTGTCATTAAGTCTTATCTGCAAAGTAGAGTAGGGACACGGAGGTAGAGGCAACCAACTCTGTCAAGGGTGATATTAACACATCTCTCAGAGGAATGGACAGTAGAGTTAAATTTTGAACAATGGGTTCTCCAGGCCAGCCTTTCTCACCTGTTTTCCATCATAATAAGAATGAAATATGTCATTGTCATTTATCAGTCCTATATGGTGCATTAATGTGGGCACCCTCAGATTTTGGTAAAAACAGATTTATAGGGATTTAAAGCATATAATGCCCTAGGAGCTTTTTGTTTTATTGCTTCTTCCAGAATATTTTGTAAATATGTGATTAATGAAATTATAAATCCAAAATTAAGACATACTTACTGGCTAATGATTTAGAAACAAATATGGCTACTTTATTTTTCTCAATAGTGAACTTTATTTTTCTAATGGGTCCTGATTTTTTTCATTTAGAGGTTTACTCCATGGGTAATATTAACAAGGCAATTACATGTTTAATTATGATTAACACCATGTACTGGCCTGTTGAATTCTCTTAATATTTTCTGTAGCTACTATTTTTACTGTGTCACATATTAGTTAACTAAGGCTTAGAGAAGTCAAATAATTTGCCCAGTATCACTCAGCTAATAAATGGTTGGGACTCTTATCTGTGCAGATAAGAACAAGGACCCATGCTCTTTAGATATGGTGGTATACATTTACAGTACTTGTATGAGCGGAGACTATTTAGATGGATAGAAGTGAATGAATATTTAGATGGATTGACAGTAAATTTCTTAGGGGAAGTGGGTGGGGCATGCAAGAAAAGTTGGGGAGAAGATGGGCTTTTAAAAAAGGTTTCATACTTTTTCTGTTACAAGAATTAAAACAAACAAAAAGTACTTTTATAAGAATGACAGTGATAGAAATGAAAAAATTAGTCCTAGAATTTCAAAATTTTTAACATGTCATTATCAATATTGTAAATTTTACTCAGATTTAGTCATAGGAATTAATGTGTCTTATTGGCCACAGCATTGATATTGCCTTTTCCTGTGCAGTGTATATGTACATGTAGGGTCATTGCCTGATGTATGTTTCTTCTCTCTTTCTTACCTTCTTCTTACTTATGCTGTATCAATAATTTTCAGTAGAAGGCTAGTGCAGCAATGAAATTGCTGCTTACTGCTGACCACAGCAAAGACAAGATGAGGCACAGGTTATGCACCCTTCCCGGTGTGTCAGCTCTGATCCCTCTCTGACCCACTCCACAAAACATGTTGAATATCACTTAGTGAGACACATTAAGACAGGGCTAAATTTGAATTATCTTCTTTTGTTTTTTAGGGAAATCATTCATAAATCCACGTATTTATTAGTAGTAGCAAATGACTTAGAACACATCTTAAAGAAATGACCCAAGCACACCAGAGTGTGCTACTAAACCCAGCCTTTCTGAACAACAGCTCCAGGCCAAGAAAAGGGAGAAATGTATTCTAGGCTAAAGGAACAGAATGTGCAAAGATATGGAGATGTGTAAACCCCATGGTGTATACTAGGAAAGCAAAGTTTATATGATGGAAACTTCTAATGCAAAGGGTAGCAGGGGGTAGAAAATGTGGAGATTAGACTGGAAAGAGATGCAGATGGAACTCCAAAGGGCCTTGAAAGGCCAGAGGGTCACTGGCTGTATGACCTGGGGCAAACCGGATGAGCCTCAGCTTTTCTAGCCTTAAAATGCAAACATTACCTTCTCCAAAAGGCTCTAAGTATTAAATAAGAAAAGTGTGTGAAGGGCCTGGCACAGAGCTGCCCACAGCAGTTGTTGCCAGCAACTCATCTCACTGTTTTTTACCCTCCCTGTTCCCACACAGAGAAAGGAATATGGACTTCATCGTGCAGTAGAAAGTCTCCAGAATTCTTAAGGAGAAATGCCCCATACATGATCAGAACAGTTAGTTTTTTTTTCAGAGAGAGCTCTGGCAGCAATATGCCAGGATTGTTTGGAGAAAGGCAAGATTGGAGGGGTCAATATGTTGGATCATTTAATTTCAGTAAATTCTGCTTAGTATATTACTTCTTGGTTCTTAAATAAGATTTTAAATACTTTCAATGCCAAACCAACTTTTGTGGAACCTAAATTATCCTTTTATTGCTTCCTAGGGACTACAGATACATAATCTCAATAACATATTTTTCCTTTGTCATCTTGCCCAACAGCTAGCTTCTTGTGTCTGTTGTTGCCACAACTGCTGTTGTTGCCACAACCGCTATATTCTTGTGCATTCTTCCTTGAAATAACACTTTAGGTGTGATCTATGTGTATTAAAGGTTTCAAAGAAAGAGCTTGTGTTGTACTATGATCCCAGGATTTCTATTTACTTTTGAATCATGGGATTCACTTGGTCCTGAAAGAGTATACTGTAGGCTAAACAAGAAAGTATTTTCCCTGTAATACATCCTCTTACTGGTTTTTCATATCATCATTGTATATGGACCTACATTCAAATATTGGCTGTTTTATTTACTACTTATGTGATTTTAGGCAAATCACAATCCTATCTAAGACTCAGTTTCTCAGTCTGTAAAATGGAGAGAATAGTACTTGCCCAAGCACACAAAGGTTATTGAGAAGATTAAAAGATATATAATGTGTGGCTCATAGAAAGTACCTATATTTTAATTTATTTTCTGATTGCCTTAAAGTAGAACTTTTCCACCCAAGTAATTTTCTATATATTTTTTTCTTTTAGGCAGCAGACTGTGCCGGGAAGCTGTTCATCTTCCATTCCTCCTTGCCGACTGCAGAAGCACCAGGGAAGCTCAGAAACAGAGATGACAAAAAGCTAATTAATACAGACAAAGAGAAGGTATTTGTAAACAATGGCCCTTTGTAGTGTCCATATGTCAGTTTCTAAAGGGGAGTGAAGAAAGAGTGAAGGTGTCCTTTGTATAAGAAAGGGAGAGAAGCTAAATGTAATGTATAAATCCAGGACATTGTATATTACAGGAATATTTTGAATTGTAAATAATTAGGAAATTTTATATTTCTATAAAAACTGATGTCTGAAATATACCTAAATTAAAATAAGGCCTCAAACTTTTTTCATGTATGATCTGTGTAAGAGATTGGGTGATAAGACTATTATAGAAATGGGGAAATGGGAAGAAATGCAGGAAGAAAATAAAGGTAGAGAATGTAGACTGCACTATATGACACTCCTAAGACAGGAAGTAGAGGTACCAATGCCCAAAATGTGCTTTGTTCAAACCCTCTGACCGTATAAACCATTGCAGGGGGGACAAGTCAGTGGGAAGGGTAAGACCATGATGTAGGTAGGCATTAGCTACTGGCCACCTGACAGCAGACAAGTTGCCTCATGTAGATCTGTAAAGGTAAGACAGCATATCAGTTTTATTAGCATTGTTTGAGGATCAAATAACATTGCACACACACGTGTATTTCATACAGCATGAGCCTAGCACACACTGGGTGTTCAATAAATGGCCACACTGATAATTACCGTAGTTCATTCCTTTAGCCCAGTTCATTTAACTGGAAACAGTTTATCTTTCGTTTAAAAAGAATTCAGAAATTAAAAATTGAAACCAAAAACATTTTTCCCTGGAATTGTGCATCTTTTTTCTTCAGATACTTTTCCAGCCCCAAACAAATGTCTATGACTCGCTGGCCAAGGACTGTGTGGCTCATGGCTGCTGTGTGACCCTCTTCCTCTTTCCCAGCCAGTATGTGGATGTGGCCTCTTTGGGTCTCGTGCCTCAGCTCACTGGAGGAACCCTTTACAAATACAACAATTTCCAGGTAAAAGCCAGCAATTTGTACACCTCAGGTTTTCTACTGCCATTGGACTCTGGTGTTAAATCATAGATTAAGAAACCTATGCCCCCTTGTGGACAACTGACAAATAGCAATTCTAGAGCTGAAAGAGGCATATGTATATGTGATTAAGCAATTGCTTTCCTGTTCCCTAAGTGTTTGGCAACAGATTGAGCTCCCTTAGCCTCAGAGGTGAATTTCAATGTAGGCTTCCATGATAGGGGAAAATATATTCTATATGAAATTTTAGTATTTTAAATATATTTAAGATAATTGTTTTTAAAAGTAACTATGTATTTGTTTTAAACTGTTATGATTGGGGAGAGGGTCAGTTCATGATACCTCTTTCTTTCAAACCTTAATTAGGAGACAGAGTCATGAGACAGTAAAAAGTCAGCACGATGTAGGCATTGGGCTTGCTAATGCTTTACCCTTCAATATAGCAAACTTCTATACCCAGGTACAGGGTGGGCACAGTTACCATTGTGGACAACAGTACCTTCAAAACTTAACATATTGAGGGGCAAAAAGTATAAGCCTACTACAGGCAGGCTGCCTCCCCCCAAAAAGGACCTGAAATAGACTAAGCTATGCCTACCCAGTTCCTTAACTCAGACTTACTAATCAAATAAGTCACCTCCCCTCACCTGAGAAGAAGGGGTCAGGGGAGTGTCTCTAACTTACGTACCTATACATGGAAACATGGAGTGGGAATGAGTGTTCCCCCAACACAAATGACAAATGCTAATCATCATCTATTTTTATTTATCATCAATAATTTTTAATCACCTATTTACATATTTATATTGTAAACTAATTAAGGGATTTGGTAAGACCAAAGATTGCAAACAAAGTAAGATTGAAAAATCTTTAAGAGTCCTTTCTACGCTATCTGGAAAAAATGGGTTTTAATCAGATTTTAAGAATTAGGAATTGTTATTTTAAGTATTTTACTGCCATCTGGTGGGCATTGATCCTACTTTATTTTTTAGATGCACATGGATAGCCAACAATTTTTGAATGACCTCAGAAATGATATTGAAAAGAAAATAGGATTTGATGCTATTATGAGGGTTCGTACCAGCACAGGTAATTTTCAATTATACTATTTTTCAATTCTCTGTTGTGTAATTATTTCCTCTTCAAATTAATAACCAGCCAACAGAAAAAATAGCAATCAGTTAAATAGGAACAAAATGTCCCTTTTTATTTTTTATCATTGTTAGGTTTCAGAGCTACCGATTTCTTTGGGGGAATTTTTATGAACAACACCACTGATGTGGAAATGGCAGCCATTGATTGTGATAAGGCAGTGACTGTGGAGTTCAAGCATGATGACAAACTTGGTGAAGATAGTGGAGCTTTAATCCAGGTAATTTAAAATATATTTCCATCTTTGGTGTTTTAGTTTGTTACTGACATGGTCAGTTGGGGAGACTAAAATACCATCAACTCTGTTAGTCTCTCTGTAAAGAAATTCAACTCTATTGCTCCAAAGGCAAAAGTCATTAAATTACAGCACTCTATTGTGTATTCTCTGCACCTTGATTTACATATGCTATTTGTATGAAGTAGCAATTGTATGTCATCACATGAGCCCCACAGACTGTAGTCAGTGTTGTAGGCATTAGCAAACTGATTGCCAGCAGTGTTCACTTCTTTTAAGCTGTAGCACCCGTTCATTCATTTTTTGCATTCCTGCCATACGTCAGGCACCATGTTAAGTGCATTATTATATTATATGCAAGTATAAATAGAATTTGGTTTTTTAGTAAATAAAGTAGAAGCCATGGAGATCTTGAATTAAAACAAGAACAGTTACATCTAACGGTCATGGTTTTCAGATGCTAGCATCACCGTTAAAGAATGGAGAGGGGTTGGCATTAAGTTGAGGACGAACTCTAAGTAGTATTTATTTTTTTAATCACAGATATTTGAAAAAATGGATACTTGTTTGGATTCTTGAAATGTGTGTATCATCAGCATAAGACTTAAGTACATCAGTAAAGCTAGCCATATGTTTTTAAGGGAATTGAATCCCTGGTGATAAAATCTGGGATATGTGAAAGTAGACTAGCAGTAGATGCAAAGCAATAACTTGTGTGTGAAAGCCCAGTTAAAATTTAAGTTTAGAGGATCCCTGGGGCCCTGGGATTGAGTCCCACCTCAAGCTCCCTGCATGGATCCTGCTTCCCTCTGCCTGTGTCTCTGCCTCTCTCTCTCTGTGTGTGTGTGTCTCTTGTGAATAAATAAAGTCTTAAAAAAAATTAAGTTTAAACCAATAAAGTGCTACATAGAAACCCAGTGTATAAATTATCATTATACCTCCCTTGTAATTGTTCAACCATTAGCATAACATAAATAAGATCTGTGGAAGAATTAGAGGTCTTTGAGCTGTATACATTGTTCTGTAAATGCAAGTAAGATCAGGCTAGCTTGAGTAGATATGTTGACCAGAAAAACATGTACCCCTGATGTTGCCTTTGCAGTGTGCTGTGCTTTACACAACCATCGGAGGTCAGAGAAGACTTCGGATTCACAATCTTAGCTTGAACTGCAGCTCCCAACTGGCTGATCTCTATAAGAGCTGTGAGACAGATGCCCTTATCAACTTCTTCGCCAAGTCAGGTAACACTCTGCTAATCCTCTGATACGGTGTATCTTGCCTAATAATTCAGTCAACACTTCTTGGTTAATTGAATTAATAACTGACAACTACTGTGGTAGTATAGCCTTTTGGTGGGCAAATTCAGCACCTAGAAAAGCTGAGTACCTGGGAGAATAATTAGCATCTCTAATTCCAGATTAATAGTGATGTAACTCAGTTCAGGCCCACACTATACAGTTTTATTCAAAGTTTCCTTCAGTGGGTTCTGGAGTGGGTTCTGAGTTGAAATTTAGGAAAGTAATATTTAGGCTCTAATTATGGTGTGTGAGTATGCCCTCTACCACCAGGGGATAATGTCCCTAATGTTGGGCTGAACTTGCCTATCCATACCATGATCATTATGAAATGGGAGGGGCCAAGTTAGAATTTTCTTTGGTTCCTTCTCCCCTCCACACCCCCTTTTTGAGATTCTACACTAACTAAAGTTTAGAAGAAACAGCAGTCCAGCCCATAGGAATTCAGGACATCAGAAGATAGCAAATTGGTCTTTCTTTTCTTGATGTGTAGGTTTCTGTTTGAAATATTCTGTGGAAAAATCTGGACCAATTACCTACCTTTTGTTAGAGGTAGGCCATTGTTCTCCATTGGGTATGTATATCATCACAGTAAAATGGAGAATATTAACAAATGACTCTAACATTTTAAACACTGTTATTCCTTGCTGGGTGGTCTGAAGATAATAGCAGTTTGTTTATTATTATCATTTGAAGGGATTAATTTCTGAGCCAAGGCTTTGATGCCATTTTCATTGTTTTGTGCAACTAGCATTTAAAGCAGTTCTACACCAGCCCTTGAAGGTCATCCGGGAAATTCTGGTTAATCTGACTGCCCATATGTTGGCATGTTACCGAAAGCATTGTGCAAGTCCGTCTGCAGCAAGCCAGGTAACTCTCCTACTGTACTTAGATCCTAAAGCATTACAAGCAACTACACATTCTTTCAGATTTAGCTATTGAAGGCTTATGATGTTCCAGGCACTTAGATGCTGTGTAGTAAACTATACAACCAAGATTGAGAATGCCATTTGGGGAGGCTATAGTCTTTTTTACAGCCAACGTTAAGAAACTTAGTGGCTTTATGAGATGCATGAACCAAAAAATATGTGTGCATGTTGGGTTGACAATCACTACCTTATGTTTAAATCACAGAATGTTATATGTAAGAAGTGTTATAATATAAATGGGATTCTCTTTTGCATATAAAGATGGATATTTGGTTGAGAAATGTGTGTGCTTAAATATCTTCTTAGGCATGTTAATAATCATAGTTGACATGAGCAAATGGCAGGAATGGCTTCTTTATATTTTATAAACATAAATATAATTTATAAATATGGAGTTCTTTTATTTAAAAGTTAATAGGTATAAAGAGTGTCGAAGGAAATGTCTGTGTATCATCTACTACTTTGAAATTTTTAGAAGAGCTTTTAAATAAGTCTCATTTATACTCTCAGATAAAAGAAAAAGTAGAATCTCATGTTCATATGTATTTTTGCATCTGTTCTCTTGTTCACGTTTTTCTGTCAGTCAAAGAAAGCTAAATGCCACTTTTCAGAATTTTATGTTGAATATCTGAATATAGAATTTGGATTGAAAGAGAAGACAGTGAACAACAGATGGGAAAGCTTTGTGGTTAACTTATTGTCAAAAATGGGTGCTGAGAGGACATCTGAAACCACACTCAAAAGTAAGGCCGTAGAAACAGAGATGTTGTAGGTAAAATTGGAAGGTGGGGAGCAAATTTCATAATCTGGGTAAAGAAGGAAAATAAAATGCAGTTAGTGGCTTGGACTTTTCACAAAGAAATCCTTTGTGTGCTGTTCTTTTTTTATTTTTTTATTTTTTTATTTTTTTTTTTAAATTTTTTTAAATTTATTTATTTATGATAGTCACAGAGAGAGAGAGAGAGAGGCAGATACACAGGCAGAGGGAGAAGCAGGCTCCATGCACCGGGAGCCCGATATGGGATTCGATCCCGGGTCTCCAGGATCGCGCCCTGGGCCAAAGGCAGGCGCCAAACCGCTGTGCCACCCAGGGATCCCTGTTCTTTTTTTTTTTTTTTTTTTAAGATTTTATTTATTATTCATGAGAGACACAGAGAGAGAGAGAGAGAGGCAGAGACACAGGCGGAGGGAGAAGTAGGCTTCCTACTGGGAGCCTGATGTGGGATTCAATCCCAGGGCCCTGGGATCATGACCTGAGCCAGAGGCAGATATCTGTTCCACCACTGAGCTACCCAGGTGTCCCCTTTCTGTGCTGTTCTAAGTGATTAAATTAGCCACCCATTCTTCTATGTCCTGTGTTGACAGTCACATAAGGAACTCTTGAATCTGTATGTCAGTGTCACTCCTCATTATCATCCGAAAGATTTGATACTTCGGTAACTGAACTCCAGTATTGGTACTCTTTCACAGTATACTTGTTTAATTTATACAGAACCCACCGGTGCACCTGGATCTAGTCCAGTCACGAGCATTTTACACTCCAGTTTTAGTTTGTTTTACAGTTCTAGAAACATTCTGTCTCTGGAGTATCTCATACTTCAGAAGGAGTAGTTTAAAGAGAACAGGTATAGTTAAGTGTCCTCTCAGAAAGTGTATTTGTTAATGTTAAAGCAACTGGATTCAAAGACCTTAAGTTAAAAACAAATCTGTTGCCTGTTTAAGGAAAGAAATAAAATCTGTCTTTTCCTTCTGGTTTGAAAGTTAAAGGCTTTGTCTCTACTACTAGATCATGTGGTTATACAGTTTAATTATTTCTGGAGGAAAAACATGATGATGCCAGATTTTTCTCTGAAAAAGTTCCTGTTTTTATCATGAGATTTTACTTTCTCCAAGAGCACATTTCAAGTGTACATTTCAACCAGTGATGTGTTATAATAAATGACATAATTTAGATATTTTATGATTATCCATCATGGAGTGGGGAAAATGTAGGGATTATAAAACTTAGTGACAGTAGTATATTAAAATATACTCTCACTTAAAAACATGAAATGGCTGGATTTGGGGTTCTCTTCAGAGAATGTAACTTCAGATGTATTGCCCATCCACAGTTCACTTGTGAGAAACAGCATCTGAGAACAGTATACTTGGATTATATGACACTGGACCTCAGAAGATCTGCTTTTATTGAACAGGGCCAAGACTAGCTTGAGGCAAGAGAGGCACTTAGTATGCAAAATTTAAGGGGGCATCTACTCTGAAGGTCATATTTAGATGCTGGGTTAAGACATAATAACTACAGGGACACTTGGGTGGCTCAGCAGTTGAGTGTCTGCCTTCAGCTCAGGGTGTGATCCTGGAGTCCCAGAATTGAGTCCCACGTCAGGCTCCCTGCATGGAGCCTGCTTCTCCCTCTGCTTGTGTGTCTGCCTCTCTCTCTGTCTCTCATGAATAAATAAATAAAATCTTAAAAAAAAAGACATAACTACAAACAACATTAAAGCAATTTGTTAAGCTTATATAAGCAAGCTAGATTCTTTTTATTACATCTGATAATGTACTCTTCCGAACTTAAATACATTACATTGGATGAGAGTACAGTGACTTCAAATAGCAAGTCAGATGCACCTAACTGCAAAATAGTTTTGTTTTTTAAAAATTCATCACCACTTCCATCATTTCAGAACTCAGAGAAGAATTCTCCAAATTCAATCAAACTGGACTCAGGTGAATTTCTATGCCTTCTTCACCTGTACCTTTTCTCTCCAAGAATGATTGTTATTTATGGAGGGGATCCAGAGAGGTGGGGTAAGGTTTACAGTGCCACATTTTCTTCCCCACCTCAAAAACATTGACTAAGGTTTTTTGTGCCCTAACTCCATTCTTTTCCATCGTCAATTTTCCTCCTTATGTACCTCCTCTGTTTTCTTCTGCATGTCCCCTCTGATCCAATCTCTTTTGGTCAGACTTTTAGTCCTGTAGGGCCATCATAGGCCAGGAAGCTCACCCATTGGTGGCATTTAGGACAATAGATTTCTAAACTATCTTAATATAACCTGATTAATGAAAAGCAACCAGTGAATTTATAAGATATTTTAAAAACTGTGTGTACATGCTTCTAGATGAGAATCTAAGAATATTCTTAATCCATAATATGTAAAGCACCTAACTGATAACTGGCCAAGCATTAAGGCCACATGGCTCTGGAATAGGATTATGACCTGGTTCCTACATCTTTTTATCTTATTTTTCTTTGCTTGAAAAAGTGATGCAGTAGCAAATGTTGTCAAATAAAAACCTTCCATACTAGAGACAAAAAATTATAAGAAGAGTATTCTACTCTGATGAGGAAACATGCGTTTACCTGTCTTTGATTCTCTGAAAAAAGATTAGGAGGAGAAGGGAAACAAACTACAAAGTAGAATTGTCCTGAAATAGGTTTGCCTGAACCAGTTAGAAAACTCTTATACACTCCTTACTTAGTAGATCATGAGAAAAAACTTAAAATATGAAAAGATTTAAATTGAGGAATAAATCCTAATGGAGTCACGAGGAAATTTTCTTTTCAGTGTGGATTCTGATAAGTATATATTCTTTCTCATCATTAAGAGAGAACACTATGGGCAGCCCGGGTGGCTCAGCGGTTTAGTGCCACCTTCAACCCAGGGCATGATCCTGGGGACCTGGGATCAAGTCATGTGTCGGGCTCCCTGCATGGAGCCTGCTTCTCCCTCTGCCTGTGTCTCTGCCCCTCTCTCTCTCTCTCTCTCTCTCTCTCTCTCTCTGTCTGTCTCTCATAAATAAATAAAATCTTTAAAAAAAACACTAAAAAAGAAATCATGAATTTATAGATCAGATATTTATATTTGTAAATTATCATTATCTTCTATGTATCTTTTTTCTTTTGGGTATTTCATTGTCCATTGACCTATTGTTGAATGGAAGGAAGTGACGCTCAGATCCATCTTGATTCTTGGTCATTTTTATAAAATTGGGTTGGGAGAAGGTTAAACAATACAAATTATTTGTAAATCTTTTTTTTAAATTCATCAGGATAAGTTTCCAGAAGTGCTACATTGTATTTGTATTTGCAGCATCACATTACAGTATGTATGTACTTCAGAATAGTAAGAGTGAGCTCACATGAGCCAAAGTGGGGATGGAGAAGGAGAGTACAGGTGGATCAGAAAGACAGAATTAAAATAATTCATTTACTAATTGAAGGTAAATAAAAAATGATATTAGGGTTCATCTGGTAGTTCTAGTATCTCAAATAGGAAACATCAGAGGAAGAACATATTTATGGGATTGTAGGAGTTTGATTTTGCCTATTGCCATTCAGCAGTGACACACCTAAATCCATGAAGCATTTCCTATCTTAGTTTGTATCTATAGTATTGCAACCTCCTTGTTATGTTTTATCTGTTTATATCTGTCATCTCTGATGGACTTCGGCACCTTGTGACATTGACTGTCTCTTATTCCTCTGAATATCGTTGACACTTTGCATAGAACCCATGACACCATTCAATATGTGTTTCATGAGTTTATGACTAACTGTGAATTTAAGATGCATGAAAAGAATAAAGCGATATCTCACAGACAGTTGAAAAAATACTGTTCTTAAGAGATAGTGGTTGGTAATACAGTTTAGGAAATCATTTATTTAATTGTATTTAATAAATGTGTGATACTATATGCTAGGTACCATCATAAGTGCTTCATAATAATCATTTGATCCTCCTAACAATCCCAGTTTTAGATGAGAAAACCTGGGAAAAGGGAGAATGATTTGCCCAGGGTCATATACCTGGTAAGAGACAGAGCAGGGACTGCCTTCTGCCAAAGCACCGAGAGAAAACTAACTGCCGTTCTGTGAATACCTAGGTGTGCCAGTTTCTGTGTTCTACGTACTTTATCTGGACTTATCATTGAATCCTCACCTCACCTCAAAAACAAATGGTGGTTCTGTCTTACAGAGAAAGTTCAGGGTTCTTTCTGATAAAGGCTATAATAAGCACATGAAATGAATGTCTTTCTTTTTCAGCTTATTTTACCAGATTCCATGAAAGTATTACCAGTGTACATGAATTGTTTGTTAAAAAATTGTGTGCTGCTTAGCAGACCAGAGATCTCAACAGATGAGCGGGCATACCAGAGACAGCTGGTCATGACCATGGGTGTGGCCGACTCTCAGCTTTTCTTCTATCCCCAACTTCTACCAATAGTAAGTATAATGCAGTGGTGCATTTCCTAGAGGAGCCTGGAAGGGATATGTTATATATTTTCCTTTTCCATATGTTATATCTGAAACATTTTGTTCTTGAGAAGAAATTTAAAGTCACTAATGCCTTCGGAGTATGTAGTGTGGGACTGAGAGCACAGACAGGCTCTTTGAGCAAGTTGTATATGGGCATCAACATGTGTTCAGAAAGGTGATGGTGATGGTGGGGGATTCGAGGTGTTCCTACTCCAGGAAATTGCTCAGATGATTACTTTTCTTTCCTCATGCTCTAATTGGCAGGTTGAAAAGTCAGAATATAAGTTGGAGCAAGCCAAGCTTCAATTATTCGAGCCAAGCTTATAGCATTAAGGGCAACTGATATGTGTGTACATGAGATCTCATGTACACACGTGAATTTGTTTCTGTACAAGGTCTGAGTGTTTAAGAGTCACCACATTTAATTAGAATGGCTGTGATTAGCCTTGACCAAATACAATTAAGGATTTACAAATCAGCATATATTTTAGGGCACCTACACTTTACAAGGGAACAACTTTACTTGCTCTCAAAGACTTTACTTTGTATGTATTCCACTTATTTGAAGTCAGTCTTAATGTCTTATATGCCTCTATACTCTGTGACTAAGCTCTTTTTCTCTGAGACCTAACAAGTTCAAGTTATAATTGAGGGATAAAAGAGGGGAAGGCTGATGGCATATTTCTAATTCCCATATTGAAAGTCCTATGTAGGCTCTCAGTAACAATACAATCTGTATTAAATTAGGTTGGAAATTAAAAATTTCAACATGAATGTTAGGTATGAATTATTAAAAAATGATTGATTTTCAGATAAAATTGAATTAGCAACAACCTGTTTGCCAGAGCAAACTAGAACTCTAAGGATAAGAGTATCACCACTCCACTAAAATCTTCTTGCCCAGGTCACCATGGCCAGCATGTTGCTAAATCCAAAGGGCAGTTCGCCAGCATCTGCCATAGTTTATTTCTTCCTCTAGGAACACCTTCTTCACTTGACTTCTCTTAGTTTCTCTGCTTCCTTGGCCACTTTTCCTGCTGCCTTTGCTAGCTTATCCTCTTCTTGTGAGAGCATCCTGGTGCTCAGTCCTTGGGAAGCTTCTCTATCTGCACTCAACCCCATAGGGGGCTCATCTGTCCTTTCAATGCCACTTACACACTGATTCCCATGTTCATCTCCAGCCAGGCCTCTATCCTGAACTCTAGATGTGTCATTCCTGTAGCCTACCAAGCATCTCTCTGTGGGTATATAATGGGCACCTTAAACTGAGCCCTGATTGCCTCTCCACTCCTGCTCTCCTGCAGTCTTCTCCATCCCCATTTGCCTCTGCTCTCTCTCTTGTCAATTCTTCCGGCCAAAGCTTGCAGTCACCCTTGACTGCCTTAGTTCATTCATATATCGCATCTCATCCACCAGCAAACATGTCAGCTCTCCTTGCCAAGAATGTCCAGGTTTTGATTACTTTCTCTCCTTCTTATCTGTCACCACCCAGATTCGAGCATAATCATCTCTCCCGTGAACTATGACAGTACGCTCCTAGCAAACCTTGACACTTTCACCTTTGCCTCTCTGGTCTGTGTTCGGCATAAAAGTCAGAGTGATCCTGTTAAAATAATTATGAGCTCACATCCATTTACTACTCAAAACACTGTAGGATTTCCCATTTCAGTAAATACCACATTTCCTACTGCCTTGGCCCAGTGCGGTCTGTACTAACCTCCTTTGCTTCCTACCTGATCTCATCTTTTGTTACTGTCCACTTCCTCACTCTACTCCAGGTTCCCCAGCCTCTTGCTGATCCTGAAACATCTGAGACAGATTCTTGCCCTCAGATCTTTGCACCAACTGTTTCCTCTATCCTGAATGTTCTTCCCCAGAGATCCCCATGGCCCCATCTCTCATCTCTTCAGGTCTGTTCAAAAGTTACCTTCCCAACAAGCCTTCTTGGACTACCCTGTTTAAAATTGTACCACCAGCACCGACATGCCCTGTCTGTCTCACTTTCTGCTGCTTTTCTTCATAGCACTTAACACCATTTAAAACTCAGTGTATCTTATTTATGTTATTTGTTGCCTCTTATTCCTTCCAAAAAATGATTAGCTGTTCGAGGCAGCTTGAACAGTTACTGTCTAATGACAAGAATAATGCCTGGCACACAATAAGCATTCATTAAATATGCACTGGAAGGAAAGAAGGGAAGAGATGAAAGGAAAAGGGAGAGAGAGAGAGAAGGGGAGGAGGACAGACTAACTCTCCTGCCTTTGCCTTTACAGCACACTTTAGATGTCAAGAGTACAACACTTCCTGCTGCTATTCGTTGCTCTGAGTCCCGTCTTTCAGAAGAAGGAATATTCTTATTGGCTAATGGTCTAAACATGTTCTTATGGTTAGGAGTTAGTAGCCCACCAGAACTGGTCCAAGGAATATTTAATGTGCCATCCTTTGCACATGTCAACACAGATATGGTAAGTAGGTTTTTTTTTTTCGTTTTTGAGGTAATATACAAATTCTTTTTTTAAAAAAGATTTTATTTATTTATTTGAGAGAATGAGTATGAAAGAGAACAAGTTGAGGGGAGGGCTAGAGGGATAAGCAGATTCCCTGCTGAGCAGGGAGCCGGACTCAGGGCTTAATCCCAGGACCCTGGGACCATGACCTGAGCCAACTCTCACTTAACCAACTGAACCACCCAGGTAATGTACAGATTTTTAAATGTTTCGTGTTCATGTGCAACCACATACTACAAAGTAAAAAAGAACAATTAGGCATATAGTTCTTTATAAGAAAGAGGATTTAATGTTTTAATGAATAACAATTAGCTGGTATAAAGTTTTTGTATAAAATATCAAACAAAAAAAAAACAAAAAAAAACAAAAAAAAATATTATCAAACAACCAAAATACATGACTCTAATTAGAGATTACCAACACATCCCAATCATTTACTGTGTGTTCATTACTGTGCTTTAAATACTTTAAAAACATCATTCCATTTAATTCTCATAACAAATCAGTGAGATGGATATTGTTGTCAATGTTTTATAGATGAATTAAGGTTTGGAGACAAGTTCTTTCAGGTGGAAAGTGAATTTAGTTCTTATACTCTGTACTCATCCCTGAACTGCATATTTAGAAGAATGCAGAAATCTTTTATACATGTTCAGCTACAGACTAAGACTATGTCAGATTAGTGAGTTGCAAAATAATAATCTTACAAAAACAGGTTATTATACCCCTTTGTTATATATGTTATATACTCCTCTCATTATAAAAGAGACTGTGGACTTGATATAAAATGAATACAAATGACTTTATTTTTGAAGTTCCTTAAGAGGGGTGTCTGGATAGCTCAGTCATTTAAAGTTCTGCCTTCCACTCCAGGTGTGATCTCAGGGTCCTGGGCTCGAGCCCCATGTCGGCCTCCCTGCTTGGCTCCCTCTCCCTCTGCCCCTCCCCACTACTCATGTGCTTTCTCTCTCTCTCAAATAAATAACATCTTAAAAAAAAATAATTAAGTGCCTTAGGAAAAACCAGCAATTACAGTTTGTTTGAGAGTCAACATTTATTGCAGATCTTATTTAAAGACCATTTGGCATGAGCACCATTGCTATGATGGCTATTGTCTTAATCTGCTTAATGGTGGATTTCTTATGAGTTCACATGTATAGATCAGCAGATTTGTTGCCTGAGGCCAAACTTGTATGATGGCAAACTGAATTAACTCTAGTTAATTCCCCAATTTCTGTTATGAAGATAGATACATAATATCTTGGAGGAAGAGACAGGATCAAGTTTCCAGGCTAGGTAGGTGGTCAGTTTAGACAGCTGCATATCCATTGTGAGTATCAAAAATATATTTTTAAAGGTGTCCATGTCTACTAAGTCTACTAAGAGACTAGTTTTAAGATGAAAATTTAGAAATAGCAAGATGTTTGCATGTGGTTAAAATTAAGGAATGGTTAGAAATGCTATTTTTAAAAAATAAATTAAAATTCAATAGACAAAGAGCTATGAATTTGAGGAATGCTTATATAAAATTTAAGGAAGCTTCCTCATCTGTCACAATGTATTATTGTAGTAAATGTTAAATGTCTATTTGCTGAATTGATTATTACATAAGAAATCTCCAAAGTTTCTCTATCTCAAAGCAACAGATTGATGTTTATATCAGTGTGCCTCCTCTCCACCTTCAAAAAAGAAAAGGAAAAACTAAATATCACTTTCATTTCAGAGACAGTTGGCACTTCAAAACATGTATGTGAAGTGTACTAACATTATTTGTTACATAAAAAGATCTACCTTGATGTCAAAAAATACACATATAGGGGATGGAATGTGAATATAAATAATGAATTTTTTTTTTTTTAACACAACTCCTGTGGAAAATATTGGCCATGATCTTTTCCTGACACTTGTGACTTGATGGTAAAATGTTCTATTTTGGCTTTCCAATGGCTGATTCACAGATGATGTTTTAGCTCTTGATATCTTTTTTTGAAAAGTAGGCATTAGCATTTTACTGTCTTATTGGAAGAAATGAAGTCCAGATCCTTCATGTTCCCTGGAGGCCATGTCTAGGTAGATGGTTATTTTTTATAAGCCTTTAGCCAGATTTCAGGGACATCTCAGGGGCCACAGTCTCCTTGAAAAATCAGCATTTGATGGTTTGTCTAATTTTGGAACAGTGGTATTTAGATGGCGTTTTCTAAACATGATAATGATTCACATGGCAACAGATCCACTGTAGGAATAAGGTACATCCTTTTCTCCCATGATAAAGCCTTGAAATAGCCACCTTACAAGGGGATTAAATATGGTGAATGATCTAAAGATATCCTTTGCATAAAACATATACCCATTGTATAGTTATAGTGATGTACCTGTGTCAAATTCCAGAGAAGGAGGTTTATTTTCAAAAGATGGAGAGTTAGAATTCGTAGAAGTATATGCCAATTAGAATAATTAATTTTTAGTGCATTTTTTTTCACACTTTTGGTTTTTAGGTAAACAAACTAAGCCAATAATCATATGGTGTAGAAGGATGTTTTTTAACTTTTACATTCTGATAATCTCATTGCTGCTTCTAAGTGTTACCAATTACACTGAAACTTAAACTTTGGTTTTCTTAAATTTAGACATTACTGCCTGAGGTTGGAAACCCATATTCTCAAACACTCAGAATGATAATGAGTATTATCCAACAAAAGAGGCCATATTCAATGAAGGTAAGAATGAGATTTTATTTTTTTCCTTTCTTTGTGTTTTTTAAAAATTTCATCACAAACTTTATTATTTATTTATTTATTTATTTATTTATTTATTTATTTATTTATTTATTTATTTATTAAAGATTTTATTTATTTATTCGAGAGAGAGAGAGAGGCAGAGAGGCAGAAACACAGGCAGAGGGAGAAGCAGGCTCCATGCAGGGAGCCCGATGCAGGAGTTGATCCCCGGAATCCGGGATCACACCCTGAGCCAAAGGCAGTGCTTAACTGCGGAGCCACCCAGGCGTCCCTCATTACAGACTTTTAAAATGCATGTCCTGTGTCTTTATCATGTGAACTTTTTTTTTTTAACAACATTTTTTTTTAATTTTATTTTATTTTATTTATTTATGAGAGAGAGAGAGAGAGAGAGAGAGAGAGAGAGAGAGGCAGAGACACAGGCAGAGGGAGAAGCAGGCTCCATGCACCGGGAGCCTGATGTGGGATTCGATCCCGGGTCTCCAGGATCGCGCCCTGGGCCAAAGGCAGGCGCCAAACCGCTGCGCCACCCAGGGATCCCTCATGTGAACTTTTTTATAGAAACATCATATTAACCTCTAATATAGCTACCTACTCAACAGATGAAAACATAAAAAGTAAACGGCTATCACCACAGGCTGACCATAGGTTATTTTAGTAAGTATTAACTTAGTAATCATGAAGAACTTTTTCATGGCTTAGTAGCAATTGATACCATTAACAGACTATGAAATGACTGCCTTTAGTGCTTAAAAGTACTTAATTCAGAACTACCATTCAGAACATTTTTAAAATTTTATTTTTACAGCTTTAGATTTATGTTCTTTGAGAAGTTTGTTATTCTAGCCCTTCTAAGCCCTTCAAAAGCTTTTAAGTTTGAATAAAAGAACATGAAATATCTGTAACTCAGGAAAATTATACCTTGTTATTAAGTCCCAGCTACTTACCTATCTTCCTTCTCCAGCTCAATATTAGACTCTCCTAGAATTTAAAATGTACAGTCGATGCTGCTTTATTACTGTGCCACTCCCTGCAGAGGTATAGGACACTCACCTGGAGGTGGACCTCTACAACAGTCAGGGTATTATGGGTCATTTTCCCCTGAAACATAAATGTGATAGGAATCTAAGTCAACATCCTTAACCATAAAAGATATTAATGCATGCTCACATCAACTTTAGGCAGAGCTGAGGTAAATTGAACTAATGAAGAGCTTTATAATCTCTAGGATGACTGGGTAACCACAGAATCTTTCCAGAATTCTTTTCACACCACATGACATCTACTCAAGGTCAGTTTCAAGGCAAGACCTAGAGATGGCAGAGAAGGCTCACACTAAATAAATTTTTCATATAATATTCTGAATGCCTGGAGGCATGTAATAAAATCTAAGGTTTCATGAAACAAAAATTGACAACCACGATATTGAGTGCACAGCAATGATGATCCATCCACCTTTATTCCAGCTGCAGCAGCAGCATCCCCACCACCTGCTCCATTTGCAGAGAAGAGGCTAAATGTGGAGATCATTTTTGTGCTCAGTAGCCTCTCCTTCAAGGACAAATAAAACTTCTCTCTCCTCTGCTTTCTCCTATCTGCTCTAATAGTGCATGTTATTAGCTTTTTATAAAAATATCTGGAATAAGCTCTGAATATATGTAAATAAGATATGAGCAGTTGCATGTTAACTAATTTTGTCTTGCATACTTAAATCAAATTTTCTTATGTGCCACTTGCAAATGTATCTGTTGTTTATAAGACTTGGGCCTTTTCAAGGTGCTATCTGTATAACAAACTTGAAAATCTAAAATCTACAGATACTAGAGTTGAAAGGAATCTAGAAGATACCTGGTCCTCCCACTACTTTTCATCTCCCTCCAGCACCATCTAACAGATAGGAAAGTGAGGCTCTGCGGAGTTCACTCACGTGCATTACTGTCTCCTGGCTAGATCGGGGCAGATACAGGCTGAGCACCAGCTGCTTAGTCCACTGTACTTGGCCCTGACATTTGAAAATAAACCACACAAAGGAAATAAAAACACATTTATAGAATCTCTAGATCTCTTTTAAAGAGTCAAGATTGAATAGGGAACAAAAGCTGGAACGGAAGGGTCAAGAACAGTAGAATCAAATCCAGAAGGCCCTTGTAGACCTCATCATTGTCTCCATGCTTTTATATTTTTGGGGGAACAAGAAGAGATTGCTATCACGCTATATATGGGAAGATCAGCTAAATCAAATGTCTCACTGATAAATTCTCGTCCTGCCCTGCTCCAGGTTCTCTGTGTTCCATGCCCTTGTCATTCTTTTCTTCCACATGTGTTTTCTAGATTACTCCCCTCCCATTGGTTCCTTTCTAGTTTATAAAGCAGTTCAAATCTACCTTCATTGGGGATCCCTGGGTGGCTCAGTGGTTTGCCGCCTGCCTTTTAGCCCAGGGCGTGATCCTGGAGTCCCGGGATCGAGTCTCACATCAGGCTCCTTGCATGGGGCCTGCTTCTCCCTCTGCCTGTGTCTCTGCCTCTCTCTCTGTGTGTCTCTCGTGAATAAATAAATAAAATCTTAAAAAAAAAAAAAGCAAATCTACCTTCATTGAAGCTCCTATTTCTCCAAGATTCTGCTTCCCTTTTATTTTTGTATTAAATACTAACAATATACCAGGCATTTTATCACTGTGCTTCTTGAAAAAGCCATCTATTAACTGCTTATATTCTCTCATTCCCATGTCTCCAGCTACATGACAATGGGCAAACTGCTAAGGAAATTCTCAATCCCTTTACAACACTTAAAAAATTGAGTATTACCTCTTTCCTCAAATTTTCTCTTCTGTCAACTTTCAAAACCGTATTTTGTCAGAATGCTCCTTTCTCACTGACCTTTTTCTTTGGCTTCCTTTTGTTTATCTGCCCCATAAGAAGAGTTGGTGTCCCCCTAAGTTGTGTCTTTGGCTGTCTTCTCATTCAGCTCATTCTTTTGGGCCATCCTAATCACTTTCATTACTTATGAGGGCAGGCAGTGAGAGATGAGAAGGGTTTTGAAGTGCAATGATTCTTTTTTTTTTTTTAAGATTTTATTTACTTATTCATGAGAGACAAAAAGAGAGACACAGGCAAAGGGAGAAGCAGGCTCCCTGTGGGGAGCCTGATATGGGACTCAATCCCAGGACCCTAGGATTATGACCTGAGCTGAAGGCAGACTCAACCTCTGAGCCACCCAGGCCATGATTCTTTAAGGCCACTGGTACTGTGGCCTAGAGAATATAAACAGGGACTACTTGAGATGGTCAGTTCTTCCATGAAGGGGCTACATAGGAGGCTGGGAGGCAACCAGCACTGATCATTTGAATATTCTCTTGCCACTCTACATAAGGCTATGTTCCTCCCTATAGAAATGTAAATGGAAGGGGCTGATAAAATATGGATTCCCCAGTTCATCTCAGTACTTTTTCCTCTTATTTTTGTGGTCTACTCCTTGAGGAGAAGACCACCAGCATGTTAAGACAGCTAAGACTACTTGCCACCACTTCCATGAATCTGCTTCCTGAAACCTTCCACCATACTTTCTGTGTCATTCTGGAATGAGTAGTGAGTAGTTCAACTTTGTCTGTAGAAACTCAAATGGTAGAGCCAGGGCTTTTTTTGTTTTGTTTTAAGATTTTATTTATCTTAAAGATAGAAAGGAAAGAGCATGAGCACAGAGAGGAGCAGAGGGAGAGGGGGAAGCAGACTCTTTACTGAGCAGGGAGCCCTCGATAGGGCTCAATCCCAGGACCCTCAGGTCATGAGCTGAGTCCAACTCAGATGCTTAATTGACTGAGCCCCCCAGGCAACCTGAGCCAGAATATTTGTTATTTTACCTTAAAGCTAAATTTATTCCTAGGCTGAAATTCATTTCCTGTTCTATTTCCCACCTCATATCATAGCCAGACACACTTCATCAAAGGTTTTACAGTGAGCACCACAGGAAAATAAATAAGCCAAGTGAATGGCAGCAACAAAATATGTCCCTCACATGTGTAGTATGAACTCCCCCCCCCCCCATTCATTTCCAGAGAAATTAAATTCTAAAGAAATTCTAAAGAAATCAGAGCCTCAAATCCATCCATTCACAATGTCTCATACTGCCCAATCCCAGCCAGGGCGTTTTCACTGAGGCCAGATCCACATTGCCATTGGCCATCAGACACAATGTAGAGGCCTAGTGGCAGTTGGGAGAAGGTAGGTAACACCATCAGTAAAAAGAAAATGGCCTTGGCTTCAGGCTCACCAGGTTGCAAGTCTGAAGCTTCCATCAAAGGTTTGTTTTGCTTCTCCATGTTGGAATGGAGTGTGCCTGTCCACACAGCTGTTCCAGTGCCGTGTCCCCATTTCCACATGGATAAGCAATTAATGAGTTTGCATTTTCTTTTTTTCTAAGTCTTAGAAATCCATTGTGTTTTACATTTACAGCACAACCCAGTTCAGACTAGCCATGTTTCAAGTGTTCAATAATCACATCTAGGTGGCTACACTTCTGGACAGCATGGCCCTAGATAGTTGTTAGGAGCAGGGAACAAGAGTCCCCTGTGTAGTCCATCTCTGTAGCACCTCTCAATTGTTTATTGTTCTTTTCTTTTTTTTTTTAGTAGGTTCCTGGCCAATGGGGGGCTTGAACTCATGACACTGAGATCAAGGATCACATGTTCTACCCATGTAGCACCTCTCAAATCTCCTCCCTTTCTACCTTTACTGCCCTGTAATTCAGATCCTAATCATCTCTACCTTAATGCCTCCAACTGCTTCCTATGTAGTTTCCCTCATCTCCTAATGCATTCTATATGCTGCCAGTTAACTCCTCTTGTTCTGCAGCACTTTCACTGGATCATGATTCCCTCAAAAGTTCCAACTCACTTAGGCTTTTGTCCCTAATCTTAAGGTTGTTTATCCCTAACCTTCTACTGACTTTGAGACTGTTAGTTCACATGTCAGCCATATCCATCTTTGGAATGTGGTGTACGGCACCCCATTATGGAATGTTCTCTAAGCCCCATCTTTAAGGAAATCCTACCTTATCCTTTAAGACTCCAGTGATAGTACCATTCTGAAGCCTTGCCCATGGTGCTTTATGTTTCATTGTTGCCACTTATACTTGTATGTCTTGGGTTTTATGGTTTGGGGGTCAGTGCCTCCCTCCACTCTGGATAATAGGCAATTTCCCATCATCCTCTAAAGCTTCACACAGTGGACATAATATAATTTTGGTGAAATTTAAGCATACAAAATTGAGCGACATTCAGAGAATGTTCATAACCACCTACCTTGTTATTTTTCCTAGCTGACAATAGTAAAGCAGCGAGAGCAGCCAGAAATGGTTTTCCGACAGTTCCTGGTAGAAGACAAAGGACTTTATGGAGGATCTTCTTATGTGGATTTCCTTTGCTGTATTCACAAAGAGATCTGCCAGCTGCTTAATTAATTGGATCTTCTCTATTGTTAATGTTGCATTTCTAAGGAGATAATCTCCTTCTTGGTGCCTAATTCTCCAGATGATAACCGGCTAGTTTTGATTTCTCGCTTTTTCAGAATAGCTTTCCAAGACGACACTTAGGACTTCAGCTTTGGTGCTCAGGTATAAAGTCAATGAAGGTACAATTGTACCTTTTAAAGGGAACATTCGATTTCTGATCGCACAATTTTTAACTGTTAAAAGTGATACAGTTTGCATTTCATGAAAGGCATAGTTTACAGAACTGTAAACATTCTCAGTTTTTTTCTTTGTGCTAGACATATAAATTATTTTTCAAAATGTATAGATTTGGGGTAAAAAGTTGTCTTGGCTCTCCCATTTGCAGTGAGGGGGAAAAACATTTTTACATTATACCTAATTTTTTTTAAACCATGTAACACCTATTAAACGTTTTTCAACTTAAAGTTTGCCTTGCAGACTTTTAATAACCTTGGAATCTATTTGGTAGAACAATTTGTGTTCTATGTTTTTTTCATAATTGTATGTTGTGTATGTTAAAACTATTTTCCAGTTGTTGTTTTGTCTATAAAACTGTCTTAATCTATATTCTTAATGGTTCTCTGTACAATTTTGAGGGTTTCTACCTGTAAATAATGGATATTAACCGGTATCAATAAATCACTTCATATGCTCTTTACTCAAGAGGTAGAAATTTTTAGGTATCTTGAGGTTTTATTTTATTTTTTTAAATATTTTATTTATTTATTCATGAGAGACACACAGTGAGAGGCAGAGCCACAGCAGAGGGAGAAGCAGGCTCCCTGTGGGGAGCCTGATGCAGGACTTAATCCCAGGACCCTGGGATGACACCCTGAGCGAAAGGCAGACATTCAACCACTGAGCTACCCAGGTGCTTTGGTATTTTGAGATTTTAAAAAGAAATAAGGGGGATCCCTGGGTGGCGCAGCGGTTTGGTGCCTGCCTTTGGCCCAGGGAGCGATCCTGGAGACCTGGGATCGAATCCCACATCGGGCTCCCGGTGCATGGAGCCTGCTTCTCCCTCTGCCTATGTCTCTGCCTCTCTCTCTCTCTGTGACTATCATAAATAAATAAAAAAACTTAACAAAAAAATAAATTAAAAAAAATAAAAAAATAAAAAGAAATAAGGGTAATACTCAATGTCTTGGAAAAAGTTATTTAAATGGTTCACTAAGAACAAATTGGAAAAACTAAAAAAAAATTTTGGGGGGGTTTGGAAAGTATTTTAAATGAATAAATCAATCTAGGAAATATCAGAGACAATGTACTTGAGAAATGCATTTTAAAAAATTCTCTAATATGTCCTCTGGGCAGAATAATAGAAATGGGCTGGCTACATGAGACCATTATTAATGAATATATATATATATATATATATTTATTTATATATTTATTTATTATATATTTATTATATATATATATTTATATATATATATATAAACAAACCTGGGAGAGTGGTTTTGAGTGGTCTGACACAGGCATCTGTCCTGTATCTGCCCTATTCAACTTTGGTATCAATGATATGAATAAATATTAAGAGTTAAGTATATTGAGTACATATAATGTCCTAAGGACTGCACTATGTGTTTTATGACCATTTATTCCTCATGGTAACCCCAGTCTCATTACTGGCCCCATTCACAGATGAGGAAAAGACCTGAAGTAATTAAGTCAAGATCCTGTTTATGATTACACAGCTAGTAAGGTTTACAAATGAGATGCTATGAAATTGAGTAGAATAGTAAACTAACAGGATTAAAATCTCTTCCCATGTTAGCCAACTGACGTTTCAGATCAAGTTGGATGGGTTTAGTATATGTGCTGCCGAAGCGAGCACATGGATGGGTTTTAAACAAGAAGAAATGTATGATCTTGAACTTGTGTTAAAAAAAAAAAACACACCTGCAGATACTCCTTGGAAACAATGGTATTTAAAAAAGAACCGAGGGGAGTTTGTCAGCATGAATCTATAGTGAGATAAAAGCAAATGTAATCCCAAGTTACTCTATTACAAGGATATCCTATCAAATGGCTCTGCTCTACTCTGAGGTGAGACCACACCTAGATAAGTGTTCAGTTCTAGGCGCGATGCTCTATGTGAACTAGAAGCCCAAAGCACATTCCTTTATTCCTTTGAAAATAGTCTAATGATTGCTCTGTATGTTCCCTAGAGTATAAAACCAGAACCAATACATAGAAGTGACAATGTGCCAATCACTTGAAAGAACCTTCTAAGTAATTGGGTGCTCAAAGAATGTGCCGTTCCACCAGGTAGTCTATTCTAACTTGATTATTGCACATCTTCTATGTGCCAGCTGCCAGGCCCTCTACTGGAGAGACAGACAACAGTGGGCAGCACAAGCAAAACCCCTGCCATCTTTACAATTACAGTAGTTTTCATAAATGCTGTGATATGCTATAGCTTTTTTTAATAGAAATTTGTTTACATTTACATATATTTATGTATTTATATATATTTATGTATATATATGTTAATATATATAAATAAAATCAGTGATATGTGACCTAGTTGAGCTAGGGGGCAAGGTCTAATCAGTAAAGATTTCCCATTAGTTATATTGAAGCTAGGACCTGAAAAAATTAGACATTAGTGAGGTAATTGTATTGGTAAATACTTCAGCAGAGGGAAAAATATGCATGAAGGCTCAGAGTGGGAGAGAACAAATATCACCCTTTCAATAAACTTGAAGAACTTAAACTTAGCTGGAACTTACTAGGGAGAGACAAAGTGTTTGCAAAAGATTAATAAGGTGGAAGAATGGGAAGAATGAGTCCTCGTTAAGGGGGAGTTTGGATTTAATCATAAAATTAAAGTCAAGACATTCAAACTGATTTCAATAAGAGTGACACGATATTCTTTAAGAAGATTACTTGGGGGTTATAAGGTGGTAAAACTAGAAGCAGAGAGATCATTTAGGAGGTTGAGTAGTCCACTTGAGTGAGTATATGGCGGCCTGCACTAAAATAACGGGTTTTGACAGAAGGGGATAAGGAAGAGTTAGAGTTAGTGAAGAAGAAGAAACTGTCTGAAAATGATTTCTGCGCCGGGCAGCTGGGTAGGCATTAAGACCATTCCGTCAGAAAGGAAACCCCAGAGTAGACATGGATAGTGTGTATGTGTGCATCTGTGTGTACTGTGTACAAGAGGTAGTCATTTACATTTGTGCATGCTAAGGAAGCTTGCAAACTATGCAAGGGAGATAAACTATGGCACCTAAAAATATGAGCCTGAGGCTCAGGAGACAGCTCTGGGTTCAAAATTTGTAGGTCATCTACATACAGAGAAAAAAAAACCCAACAGCAAATAGATAAAGAAACCGAGGGCAATTCTGTAGTGAGAGGGCAGCAAATCTCTGATACAGACAATGAAGCAGAAAGCTGAGGAGACTGTGGAGAAGGGCCAGAGAGGTTAAGAAGGAAAACTGGCAAGGGGATGTCACAAAACCAAGGTAAGAGGGATGCATGGAGAGAGTGGGGCAGCCAAGTTACAGCCTTCCCAAAGGGAAGTTAAAGACTAAAAGACATGTTGGAATTAGTAAAAAGGTCATGGGTGAGTTTGGCGAGAGCAGTTTCATGGGGTCAATGAACTTAAATGCTAGATTGGAATATGTTGAGCAATGGGAGTCAGGGGAGGCAACTCAAAAAGGGGATAAGAGAATCACAGAGGAAGGACAGGATTTCTTAGTAGGACAGTCAAGAGATTTGGCATTTAAATGCTGGTGGAAAGAAGCCAGTATTACGTTGGAAGAATAAATTGTAGCCGTACTGTTTCATCAACTCCGAAAAATGTTGAAAACTGAAACAGAAAAGAATATTTAAAAGAGCAAGACTCTTGGAAGACAGAAGGTAATATAGGGTACAAATGGAGAGTAGCTTTTAATGGGAAGGGAAACGCAAATATATAATGGAAATGCTCCAAAGAATCCAGAAGGACCGCTTGCCAATAATGGTGGGTGCTATTCCACGGTGTTCAGAAATGTACATCCCCTCCCCCAAACCTCGAGAAGCAATAGAGCAGAATGGTCACGGGAACCACTGACCTGGGTTTCTATATGAGCTCCACCCTGAAATGGAACTTCAGGGCAAATTAAAAAACTTGTGCCTTGGTTTCCTACTCACTTGTTTCAAGGATAAAGGTAACAACTGTAAAGGGCTTAGAACAGTCCCTGACACAGTTTTATTTAAGTGTTCATTGTTGTTATTTTATTAGGTTTTTTATTATTATTAAACCTGCTAAGTATCATGAAAACTAGGACTAATGTGACTCCTAGTTTTATTTGCTCTTATGCCATGAGTGTCCTAACTGATAACCCTCAAAATCAAGCTATCCTTAAACGCTATAGAAATGTTTAATTAAAAGATGGTTTCAGATATTAAAAGAAATTTATCAGTATGAGAAAACTGTAGCCTAAGCTGCTTTAAAGTGTCAAAACCTAAAACTTCAGTAAAATATAAGCCAAAGACAAGAATTTATATTTTGTATTTTGAGGAGTTATTATGAAAAAATGAATTTACTCAAAAGAAGGCACATCTTTGAGGAAGTTACTAATGCCATTACCTTCACTTCTACAAGTCTGTTCTAATGACAAGAGACTGAGAACAATTAGGAATGGTATGTTAATATTTTTTTTTTAATGTTCAGTCAGGTGGGAGCATGTTTATCAATAAAAGAATGAGGAATAAGGATCAAATTTCTAGATCATGCTTTGACATATGGAAAGATACCGGAAATTGAACTTCAGCTCCACTAGGAGGCATTATACACCAAAGTGTTTGAAACCCTTCAGACAGGTTGGTCAAATAATTTTCCAGAAAGGCAATTCTTTGAGGGTGAATTTGTAAATTCACATTGCTGAAAACACAAATGTAATGCTGACTAAACTAGATAAAAAAAAAAAAAATCTCAGGAAAAAAGCAATAGAAATCTCTTAGTCATCATCTCATGGATGTTTCTTGGCCTTTTCTTGAGACACGGATAAGCAGCTTACTCCTGCCCTTATGAACAGTTCTGTTTGTAAGAAAATTATATTTAGCACACATTATTTTCCAGAAATATTTCCTTTTGGTGCCAGCTCACTCTATTAATTATTAATTTATTAATAATTATCAATTATTTATTAATTTTATTATTTATTAATTTTGAATAACAGCTACTGTTATTCAAACTTAAATGAAAATCCAGTTTTAAGTCACATAAAGAACAAAGTTAATTTGGGGAAGCAAAATGACTAGTGTCTACAGAAACTATCATTACAGCCATACAGATGGTCTCAGGAGTTCATAAGCTGTACAAAAAGTTTCAGGGTGTACTTTTTATTTTGATGACATTAATTTTTTTTTTACCTGTCATATATCTAAAACTCTCCCAATAAGGATTTTCAATTCTAAGATATTTTATACGACTAGTTTAAGTCCATATTTTTCAAACAGAGGTATTTCATTGAAGTCCATGAAAAACTGTTTATTCTTATATATTATTCACATTTGAAAAATAAAGTTTTTAGGATATCCGATGGGGTTTATTTTTTTTTTCCCGATGGGGTTTAGATTAATGTAACCCAATTAATGTTTTACAGGCCCAATATGCCTATTTGGAAAAGAAGTTATTACATTATGAATTAGGGCAAAGCAGATTTA